TTGGCGAAATATAAACAGGCCCCTTGCACAATGTACATTTTTAAGGGATAGGATTAACTTTGAACAATGAAGGCAATAATTTGAGCAATAATCACTCCAATAACACGACAACAACATAAGTTCCATCAAGAAATAGAAGTAACGATGAAGCTTGAACTTGATAGTTCCAAAGCAGAATATTTCAAACTATTTTCCATGAAATGGAAATATTTCTCTATTTATATTCAAATTATCATATCATATGTAATAATTTTTATACAAATATTTTGCATGAACAAAAACAAATATTCAAGGAAAAATATTTGTTTATTTCTAAATAAATTCATTAATTCATATATTCCATCATATTAAAGGTTTGCAAATTTTCGTATATCTAAAGAATGTACGGTTTAAATGGTCAAGCGACGCCATTATAGTAATAAATATTAAGTCTTAAATAAAAAAAAACGCTTTTGATTATTGCATTTTAAAAAATTTGGTACCAAAATTATTTTTATTAGTTTTTTTTTTTTTAATTTGCGATTATCTATAAATATTGCATATTGTCGTTTAATACGGTTGCATTTAGCTTGTAATAAAATAATAATAAAATGCCAATAATTTCATTGATTCATGTTTCTTTTACTGCAAATAAATATTTGCCATTGTTAGTTCATTAGAATGTCTAATGCTTTTCTTTTCTTTTTGTTCTCCATTTCCAATTTAGTAGTGTATGTAGTGTCGACTAAACTGCCCTTCGCCATAAGTCCATTCATTCATTTGATTCGTGAAATATCGATAATTTTATTTAAATCTAATTTTATCTATTTATAGCACATATTTCTGCATAAATTTAAGTTATTTCTTAATATATTAATATATCTAATTTTTTTTATTTTTTTTTTTTTTTAAAGACCATTCAGCATTACTGGTTAGACTCGCTCCGCTGGGTTGTCGCTAGATAAATATGCCGGGAAGTTCCTTGGCGGTAGAAATGCAGGTGAATTGCCAGCATCACTTGGATTTTTGAAGCACAGTCTTATTCCTGTCGACAGTAGAAATCTGAGCATAGTTGTCTCGAAGTGGCAATTAACCTACTCAGCTATTTTCCTTAGTATGTTGTTTAAAGAAACGAGTCAATGAAATTTTCATATTTTGGATATTTCTGACAAAAAATTCATAAAAGTTTTCGGATAAAATGATTATTGAAATTGGAAAGATGCGCTTAGCTGTTCGCCTAGTTCACCTTTTTTTTTTTAAACTTTTTCAATTAATTAACTAACTTTTCCCCTAAGTAGTTGGTTTTTAACGAAATACTTTCGAGGCTCATCGATTATCACTGGTTTTTAACTGAGTTTCATGGAAATAAATTTAATTCAGTTTAAAGTTTAAATGAAAAAGATTTATCAATTTATTAAACGAAGAATATCACATGCCTAAAGATTTTTTTTTTACCGAAATCATTCAAAATTTTTTTTATTTCAGCAGCTTATTGATATATTTTCTTATCAATTCTCCTCATATCTTTATTCACAGAACATAAAATTTATTAATTTTTAGTATAATAGCTTCAATATTTAAACAGCATTTTCATATAAATTTATTCTATAATATGCCATATATTAGGTTAGATATATTATAATATTAGAACGTATTGTTATAGTGTCGTATTGTTTTTTAGTCATCAAAGTCGTCTGAACGACTTGCAATAGCTAAAACTCAAAAACGCGACTTATCAGGTATTTTCTATTTTCTCTCCTCAGTTTTTCTATTATTTACTGTGTTTTCATTCATTCTGTGTTTACTAAAAAAACAATTTTTTTTAAATTTTAAATTTTTCATCAAAATTTTCCAAATATTTTGGTAATCTTTTTTTGCTTTAAATAAGCCATTACTCTATTTAATTTTTTAATAAAGAAATATAATTCTTTAATAATTCTTTTTAATTTTTATATAATTTTTTTCTTGCTTTAAAGTTAAATCAGTTGAAAGCAAATTCTTCTAATTTATGTTATTTGTATGGCAACTGATCATAGAAATTTTTCCTTTCTCCTTGCCAATCTATTTCCTCTCCTCTCCTCTCCTTTCCTCTCCTTCCTCTCCTCTCCTCTCCTTTTATGATAATAAAAATGCAAGGAAAGAAACTATCGAATCAAACTGATAATTCAACAAATTGACCCAAAAAGCTCCAAAGTTTTGAAAATTTTTAGCTACATTGTATGGGTTTTTGCAGTTGAAGCTGTTCGCATATCACAAAGAAGGTTTCGAGATATTCGCATAGAATTAGAGCCAACATTGATTCGATTTATCACATCTGACCAGGTTTATCTTTGTTAAATATATTTTTAATAAATATCACTCCAGACAAACAAAAATTTTTACGAATAAGCAATAAAATTAGTCGAAAATCGTTTCAAATTCTGTATTCGCATTTTAATAAAAAAATGCTTTCATAAAAAAAACTACGCTTCTTCGAATTTTATCTTTTATAGATATCGGAATTTCATAATTATAAATTTAATTGAAAAATTCATTTATTCAGTTTATTTAATTCATTAAATTTTAATGACAAATTTTAAATTTAAATAAGTTTTAATGCACAAAAAAATGAATGATTTAAAGTATATAATTTGTAATTTTTTTGGAAGATTAATTAAATTGTATAGAAAAATTTTCTTCATTTTAAGTTCTATTTTCCATTTTCTATACGCCTTAATTATATATAATTTTATATAGAAAAATAATAATAATTGAAGATTGCAAGTAAGTAGATTATTAAAATCTACTATTTTTAATTCAGCTCATTCCACTGGCTATTAGTAGAGAGGAGCAATTTTGCCAGGAATCCACCAAATTATGAAAATATAGGTGGGTTCTCAACATTTTCCTTCTGAATTTTTTAATGGTGAGCTTAGTTTTGCTACAGGCAAAGATAGAAGCATACCGCTCGAAATGAAAATATAGGCAACCACTTGACTGCCATAGTTTATAAAATAATTGCAAATTGGTCTTCTTCTTTTAACCGTTCTCACCGTTACTGGTTAGACTGGCTCCACTGGCTATAAAGGTAAAACGTCTCCAAGCTGTTCGGTCCGACTCCATCGTTACTAGTAATAGAAGCCATTCCTTTTTCCATCATCTAAGTCCATATATTGCTGATCTCCCTATACGTTCAAAAACTTTCCTGACCGTTTCAGCCCAGGTCTTGACTGGCCCACTTCGTTTTTGACGCCATCCATCACACGATTTAGCAAGTAACGAAATGTGCGACAATTCTTGTGGTGGACGATGGATAACGTGGCTTAACCAGCGAAGGCGACATTCTGTAATAACATTGTTAACATTGTTAATCCAAAGTGTATTTGAACGGATTAATCCATTATTCGAACGAAGATGGATGCAATCATATGCGATTTTTATTCTCTCGACGGATCCGTAAAATATATCTTAGATATGAGTGGTCAAAGGGTGCAAGCTTTTTAATATGTTCCACTTTCATTGACCATGTTTCGCAGCCACATAGCAAAATCGAGCGAATTGCTCCTATGTGGACAAGGATTGAGAATTGGTATGAAAATAATAATAGTATTTAGTAATTAATGAATAATAATATAACAATAATAACAATAAATAGCAATAATACTAATAATAATAATGATAATAATGATAATGATAATAATGATAATAATAATAATAATAATAAATAATGATCAATAATAATAAAATATTAATGCATATTCTATTTTCAAAAAATGGAATAATGCTTTCTTATAAAATTGGTATTTTTAACGCCAATTATATTATTTGTATTTTGTTATTACGCATATATTTCTCTAAGAGCTTTTATCATTTCTTGTTTCACTGGCTCGAATTTTTGCCATCAAATCAAATAAACTCAAGTGGCTAGCATCATCCGTATTTTTGAAAGAGATAGATTATTTGTGCCAAAAATAGAACCACAGCATTTGCTGGCCAAAAAATAAGGTCAAAAGATTCATTCAGTCATTTCTACTCGAACAATAAATAAATGAATTCTTCGCACCATTATTCATGAAGAAATTTCTTTAATCGAATGAGAGAGTGGCAAACTAGTGAATGCATTTAATTATTGTCCATCAGCAGTTTTATTTTATTCCATTCACAAATCAGTTAATCCTTTATGCCAAACGTCCGAAAAAATGATCATTCGATTTTATTAGCCAAAATTTATAAATTTTCTCATTTATAAATTCATTTATTCATTTATTACAAATTCTTCTTCTTCAATTAAAATTCGCCAAAATTACTTGTTTTTACTGTGGTTTTTGTATAACTATCAATCAGCTTAAGGTTTCGGATATTTGAAAATATATTTTTATATATTTTTAATCTATAATGTTTCAGGTATTATTATTCGTTAGTCTAAGTGTGGAGATTTCAAAATCACTGATTGTGAAGAATAGTGCGAAGAGTGATCGATTGTTAGTAATTGGACCTGAGGATATCAATGATAAGTAAGTCAGAAATGGAAATTTCCTATAAAAATTTTTTATTACATCTATATGGCACTTCATTTTCAAATTGTATTATATCATTCGTTTTTATTGTATCATTAGGGGATATTGTGAGTCGATCTATTTTATATGAAACTGTCGCTTCAGCACCGTTTTTTGAAAATACGATTAGAAAATGCACCATTTGGTGAGTTCAATCAATTGGCATAACATGGAAATTAATCAATTCACGATGATATATTGATAATATATTGTAGTTCTAGTCTTGCATTTCTATTTTGCATAATCATACATATTGAACTGCGTTATGAAAATTTAAGTCAGAATGCCAGATTATTGAGAATTAATTCAATCTTTTTATCAATAATTGAATAGGTCAAAAAAAGTGTAAAAGAAATATGGTAGTTGGTTTAATTTTATACGTCCGTAGTTTGCTAGCAAAATTAAAATAAAATATTTAATCAGTTTCGTTAAGAAAGATGAAAATGAATAAAAATTCCTCTCCAAAAAAATATTTTCTAAAAAAAAATGATATTTAATTCTCAATTTTCTCAGAATTTTGAAGAACAAAACTCTAATATTCAGCCAATTGAACGGTATAAAATTCTCTCTTTGAACAGAGAACTTTGATTTGGATTTTTTAAGAAAGAAAAAAAAATTTAATGTAAAAATTTTTAATCACTTTAAGAGAGAAAGAAAACTTTTATATATTTCATATATAATTATTATTCATAATTATTATTTTTTACTTTATTTTATAAATATTATATTGCATATATTGCTCACTTAAAGAAATGCTCACTTTATTCTAAAATTTAAATTGAATTAAATTTTAAACTTTTTTTAAAGATCGATTCTCATTATTCTCGTTCCAATGACTAAATAAATAAATTTTATTAAGGGGTCGATAGATAGCCAAGTACCACTCGGACTTTTGGCAGTTATGACGGGGAACGGCACGTACATTCCGATATAATAGCAAAAAACCATTCAATCGTTCCACTCCCAAATTTTAAATTTATTTAAATTTGTCAAAAAATCCGTTAAACTATTAAATTCTTCAACTAATTTCGTTCATTAAACAGTGCCTGATTTTAGTCCTTTTTTTAAAATCAAATAAATGAAACTTTCTTTTATTAAATTTCTAATCTATTTTCAAATCTATATTTTCGACGTCTTTTTTTAAAAAATTCTTTTCACACAATTCTTTGAATCATTTTTCCCAATACATTTATCAGTTTATCAAAAAAAAACAGCTAAAGAAATATGTAAAACAACTAAAGAAATATCTTAAAGTATTATTAATGTTTGCCGTAAAAACTTCCAACACATTTCTCATTTCATTCTTTCCGCACAAATAATTTCGTTTATTTTATACATTTTTTTAATTGTATTTTTATTTATTTTCTTTGTTCGTTATTATTCATTTTTTTTACTACAATTTTTAGTTATTTTATCGATTATTTTCCTTTAATATCTCATCAAATTGTTTTTGCAATATATATTTTGTACATTTTTTTATTAAACATTATAAACTGAATTTTTTTTTGTTTATATTATTCATTTGCTTATTTTGCAATATTTATTTAGATAATATTTTTATTTAGATAATATTTTATTTTTACTTATTTTTCTTTTCTAATTGATAAATCGAAATATCGATGTTAACATAAAGAAAAAGCATTTCACCAATATTCTATATGAAATAAATTTTGCAAATTGCAAAATATTTTTACAAAATATTTTTAAGATTATAATTTTATTTTTATAATGATTTCAATTTATTATAATTTCGATTATCCTTTAATTTATTTGTTTTAATGCTTTTATGCTTTTATTTAATCCATTTGTATGATTTTATTTATTATGATTAATATTGTTACTATTTTTGCTATTATTATTATTATTATTATTATTATTATTATTATTATTATTATTATTATTATTACAAATATCATCGCTATTAGATGCAAATATTATTGATATTGTTACTTGAAGTTCATCATTCATTTTTTAAATTACTGAATCACACATTTTATTTTATTTTTATTTATTTTATTTTTTTGTTTTTTACACAAAAAAAGAAAAAATTTTTTTAAATTGCAATTTAAAAAAAAATAGCAATAAATTAAAGTTCGTCGAGTACATTTTGTTGTTCTGCGATTCCTATCGAACAATTTATCAAATTTTGTTGACAACTTTGATTATTACTTTAAATTTTTTAAATCAGATGAACATCGAAAAGCAGTAGCATTAATGAATGATGGAGATAGCGGTTTGCTAGATGCATAGCGTTATAAGCTGTGTAAACATTCGGATAGGGCTGATTTTATGCTTGAGCTTGAGCTAGCTTATAGATTAATGGTAAATCGATACCACCTACTATGTCCAACGATTAGTCCACGGTTATCCACGTTTCTCAACAAATTATCCTAAATTATTGCTTTATATTCCGACAATTGAGAGAATTATTACCTTCTTTCAGTATTTAATTGTGGAGTTCATTACTATTATTGTTGATTAATTCTAATTTTAAATAAAACTTTAATTGAAAGCTTTAAAAAAAACACTAAAATTTTGCTAATTTTTCGTTGAATTCATTAATAAAGAGAAATTTCCGCTTTTGGCATCCAAATTCGTAGAACTTTGTCGTTTTATCGATTCATTTTATTTTGCATAGACTTAGTCTAAGCGATATTTTTCAGTATTTTATATCCACGATTTTTTGCAATTTTTTTTTAGATATTTTGAGTTAATTTACAAATAAATAAATAGTAAATAATCGTATAAATAATAATAAAAGAATTGTTTAAAAAATCTATGAGAAAGATTTTCGTAAACTTTTATTTTTTTTGTTGATAGTTTTTTGTTTTTTTAATTTTTCATATTTTATTTCTGTGGATAAAATTGATTATACAATTATAACTTTTCGCATTCATATTTTTAAATATAAATCTTTATATGTGAATTTCTCAATGAATAAATTAGTGAATGAAGTTTAAAATTTAAATAAAATTTCAATTATAGAATCAAATAATTATAGATCAACAGGTCGCATACAAATCACCGATCAAATTCTCGCGATCGATCATAAATTGCTGTTTAGTGTTCCAACAGTACCATTGTCAAGAGTTCGTAGTTCGAAATCGATACAATCATTTAACTCAAAACGTTCGGAAATTGTGACTAGTGCTAGTGAAAAGAAGAAAAAGAAAGCAGCTTTAACCGGTGACACAAAAGAACCTCGAATTTCTTCGAAACAAAACATTGCACCATGTTCAACAGCATTTGATACGCACCAAGCGAACATTGAACCATTTAACGCTAATGTTTGCAGTAGAAAACTACAATTTTTCTCGCCAATTGAAATATTTAATAATTATTTGGCCGAAGTTAATCGTGAACAAGTCACATTGGCGCTAATTCGAGATTCTTCTCAAATGGTGGTTGGTTATTTCGTTTTTTCTCATTCTAACCATCTTTACAATCATACCTTTTGTTTTATTTTTCAGTAACTAGGAAGATAATTCTATGATCAACTAGATAATTATTATCAGTTGTTTATCAGTTGTTTATCAGTGACCGAAAATTTTGGCTATCAAATCAATATTCAATAAGAACAATTAATACCAGAAAAATTAGCTCAAAATCAAAAAATGCAAAAATATTCTTTCAGCTTATTGGTGAATGGACGCAAGTGCAACTTATAAGGCTGGTGAACGAGCCAGGTATCGGTCTAGGCTTCGGTATCGTTGGTGGAACGTCGACAGGTGTTGTTGTAAAAACAATTTTACCAGGAAGCGTAGCGGATAAAGTGAATTTTATTTATTGCTAATATTATGTGTATAATACGTGATAAAGGATAAAAGTCCACGTAAACTAGAGAAGTTCTAAGTCCAACTTATTTATTATATTTTATTTATTCACTTATTTATTATATTTTCAATGGTTTCTGGCCCAGAAATCAAGGCTTTAAGCCAGCTAATTTTAATTTTTTTTTTAGGATAGACGATTGAGACCAGGCGATCATATTTTGAAGATCGGTTCAGTACATGTACATGGCATGAGTTCACAACAAGTGGCCACTATTTTACGACAGCAAGAGGCAGCTATTGATCTTGTTGTTGGTCGAACATTATGCAATGCCGATAAGGCAGGTCTCGATAATTCAAGTAGGTTATCCAAGTTGCGATAATTTTCTAACAATTTTGATAATTATTTTTTATTCAAATGATATTTTTTGTACTTCCTATTAGTTAGAGCTTTGTTTATCTAATCATTTTTTGCACCCACTTTCCTGATATCGCTGATTGCAGTAAACATTAAATATGTAATGGGACACATTCAGTTGTGGATAGAAAAGGATGATTTTCCAGCATTTTTTAGCTCGATTTTACTTTTAATAACATTTCATTTTCTTTAGAGGGAAAGTGCAGCATTTTCCAGTGGTATTTCGCACGTTTTTCCCACATCCCACAAAATATATCTATTTTACAAGTTTTCTACCTTGTTGTCAAAAAATTTAATTTCGACGAAGAAGATTTTCCATCAATTTTAAAGCCAACTTTAATATGAACAACCGTTATCATATTCCATCAGTATTTAATCTTTCGTATTAACCTTTTTCTTCATGACCATATCGATTATCATCCTCTCAAGTGTCTATTTTATTTATTATTTTTTTTTGCTTTTCGTCTGAAATAAAAGAGTATAGAGAATAAATAAAACAAAAATTAATAATTACAACTCATTTCTAATAAGGTAGTAAGGTAGTTCGATTGTTTATGAGTATTATTAGAAATCACTTAGTGATAAAGATATACATGGGATGCCCGACGTTCGAATTTTTTCTTTTTGAAAGTAGAAGCAAATTTTTATTTTTCTGAACGAGTACTTATTTTGCCAATTTTTTTGTCCAATTATCTACAATGGTACCACTTAACCAAGCGATTTCACTATTGTTTGTTGGAATTCAAATTATATATTTTTCAGCTTTTTGAAATCAAAATTTGATAGTCTGAGTGGAAGCATTGCCATCTGTTTTCTAAAATTTCAATTTCTTTTTATAATGCACATAAATTCTAAATTATGTCGCATTTGAAAATATTAGGAATCATGCAAAAAAGTAAAATTGACAATTGACCGTAGTAAATATTCGATAGGGAATTCACTGGGCACTATTTGTGTTAGTACCAAATGTTTTAATAAGATTCCTCGCATATAGTTTTTATATTTCTCGTATGACAACAAAAAAATTGGGAATACTTTTGGGAATAAACTGCAAATCATAAATTTCTATTTAAATATTTTATACTTACATTTTGATTCTTAAAAAATTTTTAAAATAAAATAAAACAAGCTAGAAAAATATTAATAACTCTAATAATAGTAATAAGGAAAGTAATAATAATAAAAATAATAATAGTAGTAATAAAAATACTATGGATCATAACTTTAGGTATTTATGGATAAAAAAATTTGCAAAAATTGATGTCAGAGTTCTATGAATTTAGAATTTTTTAATGTGGATAATCTAGTGCGGATAAACAAATCAGTGGATTAATCCGTGGTTATAAACAAATTTTTTATAAACTGAATTTAAACAATTTCGAGTGGCTACAAGGCTTTCCATATTTTCATCCATTGATTTTTCTTTGCTAAGACTTTTTGGATTAATACTATTTTGATTAGTAGAGAGATTAGTCGAGTCGAAATTAATAGTAATTGATAATGGTGACGAAGGTCATTTTATAAAAAAGAGAAGGATTATTTTTTCAGCAAAAAATTCCTAAGCCAATTTTATTATAATCATTTTATTATATTTATTATTTATTATATTTTTATTATTTATTATGTTCTATTATAATCATGGATGTGATTTTTCTCGATTTCTACAACATCGTAAGGAACTCAAAAATGTTAATTCCCTCAATAAAATTGCTAGGAAATTATTGATATTATTTGTAGGTATGTGCATATTTATTCGAGCTAAGCCTTAATTATTTAATTATTTTCTTCCTCTTTTTTTTCTTCTTGAATTAATCGTTTCTCATAGCAATGTTTATCGGACGATTGCATAATCGATGAGGCCAAGAATGATGTCCCATATATAGTTTCAGCTTGAAATAGAAGGATAAGTAGGAGAAAAAATTGCCTGTTGACTCGATTGTCAAATGCTGGTTTCATTATTACTTCTTCGTCTTCATATCTTATTTGTTGCATCCATTAAGATGTTTTGCTTCCATTAAGATCATGGAATTTTTTTTTTCAGTGCCATAATTTAATCGAAATCGATAATTTTATTTCCTTTAGCCTAGGTCTTCAATTTATGTAAATTATCATTAGTTTTGAAATAAAACTTTTTCATAAGATTTTATAAGATTTTTATGCGAATGTGTATGATAATCAATTTTCGCTCTCCATTCTCCAACATTTAATCGCATAAAAATTATGCATTATAAATTTTTTTGTCAATTTGAAAAGTTTTCAATTTTTCAAGCTTCTTCAAAGATGAAAAAGATTTGTATAAGAGCATAAATAAAAATTTAAAAACATCCGGCTAATTAGCTTTAATTAGCGTTTTAATCGAAGCCAATTAAGTTGATATTTTTAAAACTAAAAATTTGGAAGATATTTTCGTAAATATGAAAGAAATATTTAAAAATAAAATTTTTTTTGCTTCATTTTTTTGCTGCGATTTCATCTTCGTTTCAAGGAGATTAATTTATAGGTTTTTATCCGAGCTATTGAATCAATTTATAGCCTAAGGCATAGGAATATCATATTGACATGTAAATATCATACTGAATTATTATTTTTGGATGACTAAATGAATGAAACTGTGCAAAACTCGAAGATTTGGCTGAAGTTGCATAAACATTTTCACTTCAAATTAGCACATAAATTTTTCCAAAGTAGTCCATCTCAAAATGATTCTGAGTATTCCTTGATGATCTCCAATTTTTTCGAAAGCCATAAACACCATTTTTATATGTTTCATTTTATTTTTACAATGTATTATGTAATTTTATAGCAACGTAATTACAAAAATACAATCTAATTAAAATTTTCCCTAAATATTTAAAATATTTTTCAAGAATTTAAAATGGTTTCTGTGTGCATAATAGATTTCACTGTTCTAAATTCTGTTCGGTTAAGTGTTATCGCTTTTTTTCTCAAAAAAATATTTAATATATAAATATTTGAATTATAAAATTGCCATTATTGATATTCGTTAGAAGAAAATTCATGAAATTATTTGATTTTTTTTATTTCCTTTCCTTTATTTTCATAATTATTTAACTTGCTAATGAATTATAATATAAATTGGTTTTTATTAAATAATTTGGTTTTTTAAAATTTTATTATAAACGAATCGATATTGAATTAAATAAGGAAAGCAAAAGCAATTTATTATTTTTAAACTCCTTGAAAATTGCTTCTCTAAGACATTTATTAAATTTAAACTGACTGGACAATTCGTTCGCTCTGAACTCTTTTAATTTTATTTTTATCGCATATCTTCTATTATTTTTGGATTTAGGTATTTTCTCTGTAATCATAAATTTTCTAACTTTCAACAGTTCATAATCTTTAGTATTAGTGCTTTCATCAGCTATCACCAATCCTATTCGTTATCAGTTCGATTGTAATTTTTTTTACAACAAATAAATTTAGATTGCTGGACAATGCCAACACGTGTCGCATTATGTCCAGAAGGTTTAGAAGAGCAGATCAGGCGACAGCTATCTTGTTTACAACGTGCAAATGAACATTCAAACGAGCTGCAACAGCAAGAAAACCATGAATCTACTGAAGCTGTGGTCAATGAATTAGTTGATCAAAAATCGCCGACTGAACTGCAAGCCTCATATGTGCCTAAATCAAATGGTGGATTACGTGTGGAAGATAATCAACCAGTTGAAACCTGCTTATCAGGTAAATTTCTTTTTTCTTTTCATATCTGTAGAGAGAATTATAAATTATGTTCGGTTTCTTCGATTGAATATATTGAATGGCATCTTCCCATAAATTAGTGAAAAATACTGGCAGCCTTTTCTGTTATGCTTTTCTGGTTTCTTCACCGAATAAATAATTCTCCATTTAGAGAAAAAGTAGCTTTTTCCATGACAATGCTAATCACCAATAGAGTTTCTATTTTGCTAGGATCTAACAAAATTAGCAGCGATTATTGATTCCGATCCACAGGAACATTTGGTAAAGTATATATGAATAGCAATATTTATTTTTTTAGGTAATGCGTCTATTACTGCCACTAATGTGCCTTCTCGTGCCGCATTGTCACAAAAAACCAGTGATGATGGATCTCTAAAAGCAAAAAAAGCCGAAAAGGACCGATCGTTGCGGCATCTTCAAGAGCAGGTAATTTTTCTGGCAAGTAGAATTCTTTCGGTTATTCTCAATTATTTCTATTATCGATTATTTATTGATCTTTATAAAAACTTACTCAATAAGATTGTAAGATTTTTGGGTATATTTTTCCTGAAACTCTCCTAATTTATGATTTGCCATTCAGACTTTAACTGTATTTGGACAAGATAAATGGATTCCTGGCAAATACGAGGTTGTTGAAGTTGAATTATGCCGAGATCCGGTGCTTGGTCTAGGAATAACAGTTGCGGGATATGTCCATAGGAAGGGTGAGTTACTACTAAATTTTTTGTAACAATTTTTAATTTAATTTCATTCATTGGCTCTCGTTTTACTTTTAAAAACGGCTTGTGGATATTTTTTCATAAAGTTTGTTCTGATTGGAAAATTAATTTCAAAATATGCATTCGATTATTTGTTAAGCTTCTATTTATCTTTGTAAATGTGCTCTTTAATTTTGTTGCTTAAGGCAAAAGTTTTCGAAAGAATTCCTCCAACAATGGCTTAAATTAGTTGCCTTTATTAATTGTTTCTTGGCAAATATATTTCTCTCGAAAAATCTTCGAGAAAATTTTTATTCGATTTTTTATTCGATTTTTTTTCGAATTTATTGGCTAGAAATTTTATTTTGCGCATGATTTGCATTAATTTTAGCGATATCGAAGAAGGATACGATTGCTTTTGGACTTTTTCTGATAGATTTGTAAGCTAAAAATTTAAAATGAAATTTGTTCCTTAAAAAAATATTATTTATTATTCAGCAATTTCATATCGATAAATTTTTTAAATTATCTACCGCTGCCTTCATTTACTCATTAAATATTATTTATTATTAAATTTGAAAATTCTTCTTAGCAAAGTTGATTACTTTTAGAAGTATTTTCGATAATCTTGGATTCGGCTACCGGCTTGTTTTTTTAAATTGCTTCAATTTCGTTCTGTAAGAAATTCAATAAATCTAAAAGAAAGAATGTGTTAGGTAAATAGTAAAATCTGGATTAAAAATGAAAAATCCTCTAAAGATAGATTTTTAGAAAATATAGAAGTAAGTAGATGGATGGAGGATTGTTTTGTGCTTTCATATTTATCCTTTTTTTCCTATATAAATTTAAATTTTCATTGTTATCCTTTTTTTATGTAAATTTTTGTTGGTAATTTTTAAAAAATCCTTAAAAAATTTTGGAAAAATCTTATGAATATGAGGAAAACTTCTTTCCAAATTTTCTCCTAAATTTTCCAACTATATTGATGTGATATTATTGAGAACTTATTTTTCCTCATATATTTTTTTAAATTTATTTTTGCTAAATATCATTTGAATGAGAATTTCTCAAGTTACATGGAAATTATTTAGTTTTATGCTTTTTTTTCATGTGAATCGATAGATTAAAAGCACATGCATTGGAAAAAATTTTTAATGAAAACTGCCTTCCAAAAATTATTTTTTCAAATTTTTCAGCCTATTTTATTCTCAAAAAATGATAAATTTTTTTCTTTTTTCTTCATACTATTTATAATTTATGTGGAAATGAAGTTTTAGCTTAGAATTTTTCCTATATTTTAACGCATCAAGTTAATTACTGAAATTTACTGTAGTGTGATTCTAATTTCGGATTTCCGTAATCAATGTCCATTGCTTATTTATAGTTATCCAATTTTTCCTTTGTTGTGGTTATCAATTTTACTTTTTCTCTTGCAAGAAAAGCAATATTACCTATTTCACTGAAATTTTTCTGACTTTCTCATTAAATCATTCTAATTTATTTTGTCCTATTAATTGTCCTATCTTAATTGTCCTATTTTATATCATTATAATTAGTTATTGTTTCTTCCGGTCGACGAAACCTTTATGGAGCCGTCATGAAATCACCATTAAAACGAAGGTCCACATCTATATAGCCACAGTTGATTCGATTTTGTTATATGGCTGCGAGACATGGCCATTGAGTGTGGAGGATATTAGGATATTATCTTCCACTCTAAGTTTATAGGTCAGTCGAGCGGATAAAATATCACATGATTGTATCCACCTTCATTCGAATACCACTTGCATTAGTAATGTTATCACAGAGCGTAGCTTTCTTAGAAGTTGCTGTTGTTTTATAATTGTCGCCTTATTAAGAAATCATTATAAGAAGTTTTAGGCAAATAGCTTAATGATTTTTGAGTATATCTGGAAACACTTGAGACTCGGTGACTTTAATTATTTTTTTAAAATTGCGCAAAAGTACGAGATGAACATGTTAGCTATAACTGTGGGAATCGATATCGTTTGCCGTTTGTTCTTAATTTATAGATAACTCCTGTCATGGAAGAAAATTTTTATATTTCTAGGATTAATTTTTTTTTTAAATCATTACTCGTTAGACTCGCACTTCTGGCTTGTCGCACTGGACAAATACGCCAGGAAGTCCACTGGCAACGATAGAAATGCAAATGAGTCTCGGATTTTTGGACATTTTTATTCTTGCCTGATAGAACAAACATCGGTGCTCTAACTGGGTAACAATCCACTGAGCCATTCTTCTCTCGTTTGTTTTTCTCCATTAGACGACTAACTGAAGAGTGGTACGTCAGCGGATTCGAACTCTAGGAATAATTTACACAATAAAATTTTATGAACAGGGTTAAGCGTTAATTCTTAAGCACTCCATTATGGTAAAAATAGATTTTTGGCGCTGCATTTAGCAACTATTTCTTAGGATTTATTAAAAGTCAACGACACTATCCCAACTTTCCTATGAAACTTTTATTTTATTAAAACCAATAAGGAAATAAATTTATTTATTACTTTTTTCTTCAGGCTATTTTATTTCAGATTTTGCAAGTCTGAAATTTGGCAGCTTAAGTTAAACATTTTAAATTTACCTGTAATGTAATCTTATGTATCACTGAAATCATACATTTCTCAAACCTTGTTTATCATTGATCGTTCTCATTTTTTAAGGCTTGGCTTATTTCTTTATCATGTATAATATAAATAAATTATTTATTACGTATCACTCCTTCCCAAGCAAGATCTCTTGTTGGCAGCTCGTATAGATGGCTTAAAAGCACGCTTCTTGGGCTCGATTCTTGTCTGAAATATAGCTTCACTCACTGATAAACGTAGATCTTTAGAGTAGCAGCTTATGCTATTAACTCGTAAGACTTCGTATATACCATAATAGCGTAGGCTGTAATAAAAAGGCGTAGTGGAGGGGGTAAATCTGGCAAAAATAAAAAATAAAAATAAACAACACCTATTACTGACTATATAAAAGGCAGATGGATTTTAAAGTGGAAATAAAATTCAATGAACCTTTTAAGAAACACATAAATTTATAAATAAAGTAAATCTATTGATGCTTTCAACCATTCTATTTTACAATTTCCTTTTTCGAATAATTTGATTGAATAATTTTGCAGTTTTAGGGAATTTAAATGAAATTTACTTGAATATTTTCAGAGGAGATAAATGGTGTTTTCGTAAAATCGTTAGTACCTCAGTCAAATGCTTATTATTCAAAAAAAATCCAATTACACGATCTCATCGCTGAAGTTCATTTCATTTTTGTACTTTCTATTAAAAATATTATAATTTTGAATAATTTTCTTAATTATTTTTATTTTCTTAATTATTTTCTTATATTTTTATTTTATTTTATTATTACATTAATTATATTTTTATAGACTTTTTTAATAATTCAGTAAATGACTTGAATATTTTTAGAGGAGATAAATGGTGTTCTCGTAAAATCGTTAGTATTTCAGTCAAACTGAAAGAGTTTTGTACTTCTTTGAACTAAAATTCTTGTAATTCTCTTATTAAAATTTAAAAAATTTTTTTTTGTAAAAATCAAAATGATTAGATTTACAGGTGAATGGACAATCGTTAGAAAAATTAAGTCATACGGATTCAGTTAGAACATTAGTGAAAAGTGGATCACGCGTTAGGCTTAAATTGATACGTTTCTTGCCGGGTTCACCTCAAGCTGATTGTTTAAAAATGCTTCAAGAGCAGGTAAATTTTTTAAGTAATTGATTCAATTTTTTTATATTTATGGCTATGGCCAAAAAAATTACGTATAATAATTTATTCAGTATAAATATACGAGATTAATCCTTCCTTAATATATATGATTTAGAATAGAAAATAAAGGAAGAAATTTCTAAAGAAAAAAAAATTTTTTTATAGGTTTTTTAAAACGATTTTCGTGGAACAGCTCAAATCTAATTCTTAATTTTATTCAGACAATATATAAACATACATAATTTAACGATCGAATGCCAGAATGTTCATATTTAAGGCCTTTAAATCGGATTGTTAAAATACTCGATATTTGCCATTGTTAAGGAAACTGCTACTCAAGTAATCGATATTCAGTCGAATTTACGTGACGTTGTCGCAGATTGGAGGAAAAAACTTGGAGCTGAATTTGAGGTGATCAGCGTTGATTTAATACCTGATAAATCAGAAGATGGTGGCCTTGGTATATCACTTGAAGGCACTGTTGATGTTGTCGATGGAACTCATCTCTGTCCTCATCATTACATCGACTCATTAAGGCCTGGCGGTCCAGCAGCGCAATCAAACGCCCTACGATCTGGTGATGAACTACTTCAGGTACGGGCTTATTCTCTAGCGAAAAGCCAAATATATTTTGAGATTTTTACTTATGAAAAAATCTAGAAATTTAAATTCTATTTCATACTGAAATTGCACATGAAATTTTATTCAGGTCAATGAGTTCATATTGTACGGCGAATCACATGTAACGGTAAGGCAAGCATTGAGTAAAGCAGCATTATCTGCTCAACGAGTACGACTTACAGTAGCAAGAAAAGCACATACAGTGAATTTATTCATGCCTAGGCCAGAAAAAAGTCTTCCTATCGCTTATTCGATACTTGCAGCTTCTGATGACCGAATGATAAAGGTATTAAAAATGCATCATGCCAGGGATAATTGGAATTTCACTAAGACATTATGGATTTCAGGCCAAGTCCGATACGTGCATTCCATCGGCACGCGATAATACTGCGTTGTTACTTGAAATGGTTCGTTTATTTTGCACATTCTTCACATTCAATACTTTACTGGTAAACGAAAAAGAAACCCATAGAAAAGGCAAAGAAAACCAGAAATTTTTTTTTAGGTGTCAAGGCGACTTCGATCTCAATCTCTTCAACTGTTCACTGGTTTAGCTATTTGGAAATGTGTACCTATGATCGTTTACCTTGAAAAAGATAGTAAAGGCCTAGGATTTTCAATAGTTGATTATCAGGTTCGAGATTTGCCTAGGTTTATGAGAAAAATCAAAGAGGGAGTAAATTTTTTTTTTATTGAATGGAAATAAATTCAGTTGATTAAGGCTTCAGAAATTTTATTAGAATTTATTTTGGCATTTTGGTTTATTCAAGAATTTCTTTAAGAACTTTTCATAAGGATAATCTAATTTATTATAAATTCACTTTCAAAAGAAGTGATTTAATTTGTTATTAGCCACTATAATATTCCTCAAAAATGCATATTCTCATGTTACATCAAGGATTTATCGTTAGCTTGAGGAAAAAAAAATATTGGAAAGTGAGGAAGCGAAAATACGATGGAAGAGGGCCAGTTGCACTGGCTAGCAGGAAGAAATCACTTTCTCAGACAGAGAAAGATCGGATTATCGGAATCGGATTATCGGAATCGGATTTCATTTTTAGTTTACTTCAGTCAAGAAACCAAATTCTTTATCTAATCAGTATACTTATCAGCAATTATTACTGATAAAATTTGAAATATAATTCATAATCAGTCAGAGTTTTTGTACCGTTTAATAAATTGAAGTGATTTTCTTCTGAAATATTTTTTAAATTTTTCGTTTTTAGGATCCTCTTCATCGCGGTGAATCCGTTATTGTAGTCCAATCACTGGTACCAGGAGGTGTAGCACAGGCTGATGGTCGAATCATACCTGGCGATCGACTTATGTTCGTTAATGATGAAGATTTATCTAATAGCACGCTGGATCATGCTGTTGCGGTTCTGAAATCAGCTCCACAAGGCGTTGTGCGCCTAGGAATAGCAAAACCTATTCCAGTAGAACAAGTTAGTTCCTTAAAAAAATTCATTTCCTCTTCCAAATATTTTAATAGTTTAAAAAAAAATGAAATGGCAAAAAATAAAAGTATAAAAATAAATAAAAGTATACTATATTTTTGATTAAATGACATTTATGGATAATAAAAGTTCTTGAAAAACTATTTTAAAACTAAAGAAAACATATATTTCTAAGGATGCCGATAGTTCATAGTACCACGTGTTTACGTTTTTCTTCATCCATTATTGCTTCCCTTCACATATTTCTTTCATTTTTATTTTTTTTTGATCTTTTGGCCTAATTTACTCTTCGAATTTCGCTTTCACCTTTTTACTCTATTTTTTAAATTTTATTTTATATCCTTTTTTTGCATCGATTTATTGAATTTAAGTTTTGATTTCGATGCAATCTTTAAGAGGTTTTAATTTTCTATTAAAATGAGAATTCAAAGAAATTATTTTCATTTCTCTTTGTTTTTTTTTTATTTTTAGAAAAACGCATTAATTTTGGAACAAAAAATATATTTCGAAAAACAAGTTTTCCTTAATTTTTATTTGATTTGCTCCATTAGCGAATTCGTATTTTTTCCAATAGTTAATTATATAGTTTTCCTTTTAAAAATTTTTTTTCATTCGTCCTAAAACGATTAACATTTTTTATTTATTTTTTTTTTGAAAGATTTGAATTTTTTGACTTATTTCTCTTCAAATTTCAATTTTCCCCTCAGCTTTTTCTTGAGTAAATCTTTTTTTCCTCATTAATTTCTTGAAAAAGTAGTTTATTCAAGAAGAAGGAAAAGTGAATGATTAGCACTTATGATTTCTGATTGCTGAACTGATTATTAGAAGATTATTAGAAGTGACAATTTTATCATAGAACCACTTGAGAATAGAAGCACATATGCTTCCAGTACCATTTGGAGTTCAGATTTCACTTTTAATGGCAAATTTATTCCTGCCAAAGGCATAAATCATAATGATTGAAAACGTTACAATGTTGCATAATCGACTATTTTACTTTTATTTCAGTTTTTAAATATTTAAAAATTTCAATTTAAATATTTAAATATTTAAAATAATGAAAATTTGGGAAATCGATAAATTACAATTTGAATAAAAATATTCATTTCTAAATTAATAAATATAATTTAATATTAATAAATATAAGTATATTTATATTCATCAATTTAAAAATATTTAAAATATCTATCAATTAAAATCATAAATTAAAATTTCCCTTAAAAATTTCGCATAAATAAATAAATATACGAAATGTATTCCTTCGAGAATATGTATGCCTGTCATTGTCATCGTCGATTCATTTATTTATTGGCAATTTTATGAATAAATACTTTCTTTGGTCAATATTAATATGGCTAATGAAAATTATTTTGCAAATTTGTTACTTATATCTAAGAAAGAAGAAAAATTAGGTTGCTGAGTTGTTCTCTCTCCGGCATGAAACAAGCACGACTGAAACTCGTTTTGGAAATGGTATGCGGATTTTCAAAGCGATGATCTGAGCAAAAATTTCATGACATGATTTAATCGAGATCATGAAAAAATAAAAAGCCAAAATGCGGAATTCCGAGTACTATTAAAGGTTTTCTCTCGCAAAAAAAGGCTATTTTGTATTAAAATTGAATTTTAACGAAATAGAAAAGTTTGGCTTTTCTCATTTTAATAAATTTTCCTTTTAAGAAATTTTCTTTCATATTTTGTCTTTTAATTGCTTAATTCTTATTTTGAATTTAAGCTTAAACATATCTTTCTATTCATACAAGGATAATGATTCGCCTTATTTATTTTAGGATTTATAGAATTTAAAAATTTCCCTTCGGCCAACCAATTTCCTTTTTTCATTTGTCTACTTTTTTTACGTTTAAGGCTTTAAAACGAATTGAATTCGATTTGTCTTAAAAAAAGAAATACAAAAGAATTGAAATATTTGAATATGATTAATTAAATAATGATTAATAGCAATATAAGCACAGTTAAATATAATTATTAAAATAAAAATATTAAAATAATATTAAAATTGAAATTAAAATATTAAAATATTTTCTTATTTTTACGATATATTAGAGTATATTAATTTTTTTAATTAAATAATATTGTTTTCTATAATATTTATTCAAAAATAAATGGTATTAAATCATTTATTAAATAAATAATTTGTTATTTTCTATTCTTTCGAATTATTTTGCAAAATCAAAAATAATACTGAAAAGAATTCATTTGAGAAATACACACGATTAATCAAATCGTTGAAATTTACTGAATTATTGGCTTTCTTAGTTTCAAAATATAATTTCATTCATTAAAAATTCTACTGCTTTCAGTGTGGAACGTGCAATCATTCACCGATAATTTCAAGAAGTGAACGTCTTCTTGCTAAAGGAAGTTCACCACGTTCAAGGCGGCGAACAAATCAGGTGAATAGGATTTTTTAAAATTATTTTAAATTCTTCAATAACTATGTTTAATGTCGACATTTGCTTGCCTACTTCTAAAAATATCTCCTCGAACAATAAAAATTCGATGGGAATCTTGCAAATGGAGTAATTAAACGAAGTAGTTAGCTTCGCTGGCCAAGTGGTTGCTAATGAGATGCGATAGCAGTCGAAGGAAAATAGACGAATGACCAGTACGGTTCAGATTTATTCGAGGATCGGGGAAGTGAATTTCTAATGCTTGGTGCAGATTGGACCAACTATCAACCATTCGAATATCCGTTTTTCAATTTTTTTAAATAAATAAGTTGAAAAGAGGAAAATTTTTAATTTTTTCATGTAATTAGATTAAATTGTTTTAGGTGAAATTGCATGCAATTTTTTTCAAAGGAAATTCCCATTAAATTTTTACGCTTATTTTAATACTCATTTTAGATGTATAAATTGATTCTTTTGAGTTGTGCATGTTGCTTGGTCATTTAATTATTGATTGTGCATGCTTTGCATTTTGTTGTAGAAAATTTCAAAAGGACTGCACTTTTAACTTTTCGGCGTTCTTTGACGTTTAAAACTTTTTTCTTCTTCGTTTAGTCTAAAATCTAATGGAACTTATCCAGAAATTGTGTTTAGCATGGAAAGCACCGTTGTTGGACGAGGATTTTCTTAAATTTTCACTTCTTAAAAGATTTTTTCACCTTGCGATTTCGCCGATCTCATTGCGTCCATTACTCATTGGTTATCAGCTCTTTCTTGTCATCTCAGCCATATGTCTTATATTTATTATGATTTTTTTGATAAATTTTGATGATGTTATCATAGATTTGGAACATCTTTTTCATGAGATATATAGATCATTTTATAGAAACGAATCCAGAGGCTGATAAGCTGATAAAACGAAATATTATTTGTTTTTCAATTTTTATTAGTTGATGAATATGTGGTGATGCTTATGACGCTTATCTGTACTTCTATCTCTAAGTGACCATCTAATAAGATATCTAATAAGATAACGCGATTTTAATTCAGCGGCCAGTGAAATAAGTCAAATCAAAAATGATGAATGCCTTCGACGTTTGGCTTGGCTTTATTTCTTCTGTTTTAAAATTTGATTAGTTATCATTCTTGACCGTTGCAAACTTACGATTAATTCAAATTTCTAGTTTAAGATCGGAGAAATCGCTAAAGATTATAAGTCTTAAGATTAGAAACATTCACCGAAGATAATAAAGTAAAGAGTCTTATAAAAATATTATTAGTAAAGCATGTAAGAATATCACCATTATCACCATCGTTACCATCAACATTACACAATTACAAACACAATTAAGTTGCTATGGAATGCATATATAGATGTCGACCAATCCAAGCCTAGCAATCTTTCTGGCATTATCTTTGCTGGTTTCATTCGTCTTGACCCGATTTTCTTAAAACTTTTATGTGCTCTTTCTCATCGCTAGAGGACAAGAAAAAAAATTTCTTATCATTCGGGAATATATGGGAAAATGCGAGAAAATCTCACGGGAACTTTTCATCGATTTATCTTAATAATCATTACATTTGCAGTTGATTTCATACACATCGAGTCAAGAAGAATTATGGATCGATGGCGATGAATATCGACGACAACATCCACAGGTAAAATGCGAATTCCATTATATTAATTCCTCTCGCATAGCGATAATTATTGGCAAAAAAAGATGAATAGGAAATTAGAAAATTAAAAATTGAAAATTGATTTTAACAAATGGAAAAATAGCAATCGTTAAGGTGGATTTAACCAAAATTTTTCAAAAGTGGAAACAGTTGTTTCCCGTTGGCAATCGAATCTTTAGAATTTGTGAAAATAATTAAAAATAAGTAACTTTTAATGTTTTTCGTCTTTTATTGAATAAAATTTATATAATTAAAGTTAAAATTTTACTTTTATGCTTTTCTAATATTTAATTGCAAAAATCATAAATATTTCAAGCGATCAATTCAGTTCGCTTCAATGAATTTCATTGTGCTTTTAGCATTTAAAAAAAAAAAAAGAAATGCATAAAAAATCAATCTTTCCCATTATTTTTATTCATTTCTTCCTGAGATTTTGAATTCAATTGTTTCTCATTTATTCATGGATTTGAAATCGAATTAGCGAAGTGGTTAATAGTTTAGATTATCGTCTTGAGAATCAGTGGTTTCTTTTCGCTTCGAGCGACGATAAATTTCACCGTTGAAAAATTCGCCTGACCATCTTAAATTTAATTCCATCGTCAAATAACTCTTCTGAATGATTCAGCTAGTAAAAAGCGTAAAGCGAATTCCAACGAGAAATGATGGCATTAGCCATTCACCCACTTAACCGCATTGTTTGTTGGCACTCTCTAGAAAAATAATTCGTTAAGAATTTTTAAACGACTAAAAGAATAAAAATCTTAAAATTTGTAGGTAATTTTAAAAAAAAAATTATAAAAGTCGCTAAAATAGTGGCACAAAAGATTTTTGGCTTTGGCTTTGGCCTTTAAGAAATCAGTTGTTTAGCTTTAGAAAGTTACTAAAAAAGAATGTTGATTGTGTTGAAAAGAATAGATTATTTATTTCTTCTATAATTTCTTAGAATGAAGAGAATTTCACTTCAAATAAAATGAATTTCTATTTAAATAGGGTTTGGTTATGAAAATGGCAAAAATATTTCGAAATTGCCATTTTTCGACTTTAAAAAGCAATTTTCATTTTAATTTTTAATTTTAATTTTAATTTTTTTCAATTATTTTCATGAATTTTCAGAAATTTTTTTTCCATATTCAGTCAATTATAGCATTTTTTTTAGAGTTACTATCCATCAGGATCAGCGTCACCGTCAGCCTTTACGTATTCCTCTTTAAATTGTGTAGGTTTATTTGTGTATAAATTTTAATAAAAATTAGCTGAAAATAGTGAAATTAACTCAATTCAAAGCGAGAGAAGATATCTGAAATTTCATCAGGCTTCGCCATCATTTTCTTGTGGATTTTATCAATTTTTTATTTTTTTTTAATTTGGCCGTCTGGGAATAAAGTATCAATATTCGATCAATCTATCATCTTTATATTTCACCAATATTTTACGGTGAATACCAATAGTAAAATATATACATTATTTAACTACGGGCGAGCCGTGAAGATTGCTTAGTTTATTAATAATTTCACTTTCCTAAACCTAGAAAGTCTCGTTCTTCCGTTCATTGAAAGCCTGTAATCCTCTGCATTGAGTTGCTCATTAAAATCGTTTTTTAAATAACTTTAAAAAATTTTAATTTTATTTTGCTTGAATTATGGCTAAAGATGGGCTAAACGTTGCATAGATTTGTGTAAAGAAAAATTTTTCGTTGATTAATGAATTTGGACAAGAAAAACATATTTAATTCTTCGAGGATCAACTGAGATTTGCGCCAAAATCAAAAATAAAGCCAAATGATCCTAACGTAAAAATAAAATGCCTTTTTTTCTGGATTAATTTCTTTCTTTTGAATTTTTTTCGTTCTCACCGATTTCCACTTTTTTTTGCGGTGCTGATTGTGTTGAAGTTAAAAATCATCGATTTTTATGTAGTTAATTTGATTTTTTTTCTGCAATTTTAAAATTTATTCTTCGTTAAGAGTTTTTTTATTTTTTTGATTATTTCTAATGATAAAAATTGAGATATTTAGTCTGTTTTCATTGTCATTGTCTTTCATTCGTCTTTAGAGTCATTTATCGATGGCAAGTTGGTCACCTTGTTCTACACGTTCTATATCACCATGTGGTACTCCTTTACAGTTGAAAGGCTCATGGGCATCGGATATTGTTTATTTACCGCATAGCCTAGAAAGAACTATAAAAATCGCGAAAGGTCCATTATCACTCGGTTTGTTTTTCCATGCATCGAATTTTTTCTTCATTTTCATCTTTCTTTTAAGTTATATTATATATCTTTTAAGTTTTTTTTTGCCTTTTATCTTCTCCTTTTCTCCTTTCTCCTTTTATCTTCAGTTTTGATAAACAAAAGCTGTCATATTTTCATTCATTTACTAATTGAAATTATGAAGCGATTTTACTGAAAAAAAATTTTATTAACAAAGTATAATGAAAACTTTTAATAATCATTAAAAAGCCTTTAAATTCCTTAATAAATACGAAAATAATAAAAAAATTCTATTTGAATTACCAAAAAATTTTTTATTGATTTCAACTTAAAACTTACCATGCAACCAATTATTATAATAATTTTATTTGATTCCAATTCATTTAGAAAAAAAAAAATTATAATTTTTATAAAGATAAAATATTGTTATTTTTTTTTGTTTTGGAATTAGCATATAAAAAGTTTGAAAAAACTTGTAAATTTGGCCGAGTAGTTTCGTGATTAGATAGTGATTATCATTTCAAACATCATATCTCGACAGCATTATGACAACAGTCTTTTAAAAATTCTGTATGATGAATAGTGGTGAGATTCTCAACCTACCTTTAGTTCTATTCGCAAATGACTCTTTAGCAAATTTATTTTCCTAGTGGAGCGAATGGAGCGAAATAGCGAGTGCTTAGACACTTATTAATTTTTATTTATTCGTACTGAAGTATTTATGAATAGGATTTATTCAAGGATTTGATAATTTAGGACTGGTATTAGATGCTGATGCGGATAAAGGAATAAATGGTTGTAAGGTGAAAAATATTTGTAACAAAAAAGCAGTAGGAAGGGATGGTCGAGTACAGGTTAAAATATTTCTTTCTCATTAAGATATTTTATTTCATTCAATCGAAACAATAAATAATTTTTTAGCTAAATTAGTTTAGGTTGGCGATTACATTGTAAAAATTAATGCTGAAAGCTTAAGGAATGTTACAAATTCTCAAGCACGTGCAATACTGAAAAGGACAAATTTAATTGGCACGAACTGCAAGTAAGTTATTCGACGATACCAAGGCAATTTAAAATCTCAGTAAATGAATAATCTAGAATAATGTTTAAGTTGAAAAATAAACTATATGATAAGCCGAAATTTTATAGGTGATTTTATATTTCAGTATTGTATATATAACATCAACTGATGCGAAAATATGGAGAGAGCGATATCATCAGGACAGCGAAATGCAAATGCCAGTTATCAATAGGTTATCACCAAAGTAAGTTATTAAACGAAATTTTTCTATAATTTTTATAACAGCTAGTGGTCAGATGAGAAAAACTATGCTAGCAAGGTTTGATAGGTTTGATAGGCATAAAACGTTGCCGAATCATTCTAATCAAACAACCTATTAAGCACTATATGCATGATTTATATTTCATCTGTTTCTTGACTGATATAATAAATATTATCAATATTATCATTATTTAGAATCTTTCCTAAATATTATCGTAGTCCATTTGTGGCACGACGTGAGCATAGTTCAGTCGAACATACCGAATCATTCGATAGCGATATTGTAAGTTCGGATGCAATGGATAGCCGAAATGAAGTACCACAACCTATTTTTCAAGTTCGCCCTCAATTGCGACACGCTGGTTCCATTGTTGACGGTAGCGAAATAGAAAAATTTTCCTATGATATTGTGCTGGTGAGTTTATTTCTTATTTTTCTCCATTTTTTTTTTTTATAAGAAGACAGGTAAGATTGGTATGTTCGCCTCAAAATGCGTCAAGCATCAGAATTTTTACTCTGGTCAGAGTAAATTTATATTATATTAGAAATATTGCATCGTATTTTTTTCACCCATTGATTCCCGGGAAAAAATTTCTAATTTACTAAAAGCAAGTGGTGGAGCTAGCGTGATAAGAAATAGCATTTATTTTTTATATTTCTTTTTTTTTGATAAGAAATATTTTAACGATTAACAATTATAGAAGATTTTACTAAGAGAATTACTTGAGATAGCAAAGTGAAAACATTTTTTTTTGATGGGCTTGACGAGCTTTCATTAGCTTAATTAATTGAACTTAGTTTGATTAGCAAAAAAAATTTTCATCAATTTTTGTGACGTTTTTTAATTTACTACTTTATTAATCCATTTAAAAATTCACTATTTTTTTTTCATATTTATTTCGTCGTCTAAAAAATTTAATATTTATTTCGAAAATCATCCATTTACTGAACATTTCCATTATTGCTTTAGCTAGTCATGTTAACTATAAATATAAACTGTTTTCAACTGTTTTCCTCCTCGCTTGAAAAGCGATATTTTATTGGGAAATTTAAAATATTTTTAAAAATTTTGCTAATTGTTTTCTACTATCTCTTGGTTTTTTGTCTTTAAGAACTAAAATGATTAAAATAAACAAATAAGCAAAATAAGCAAATTTTTTGGTAGTGATGGTTAACCAATCGCTCCATCACTTTCAACTAATTTTACAATTTCTGTCATTTCAAAATAACTATAAAAAAAAGGATTTAAGGCTGCTTTTCACGAAGCATTTATGGAATTATCTGTTGCTGAACGCTGTCCTGATTGGACCGGGTCTCTTCAAAGCATACAAGTCAGGAAAACTGATCAGCACGATCAATTACCATCAGCGAGTTCTTCAACTGAGGTAGTAAACATAAAGAAAAGTAATAAATATTAATAAAAAAATAATAAATCAAAAAAGTAATAAAGAAAAGAAACTTCACGAGTTCTATTCCAATTTAGGAAATTTGTAGACTGGAATCAAATTTCTGGATTTCTAGTTGCGAAATTAATTTCATTCCATTCAATAACCGAACTCCTCAGTCTTAAATTGTCTAGAGAACGTTCCGAATTGCCTATTGATCAGTAATAGAATATCTATAACCTCCTTCCTTCTCCCCCTCCCCCTACCCTTCCTCTTTTCTACTCAGTAATCGTAATAATTTCTCTAATAATCCTAAGATTAGATTTTTCATTGCAATTCGAGAAACTGTTTGGTATTTTCAAATAAAACAATATTAATATTCTTATTCAGTGGCGAAATAAAAATATAATTTTCTTCTACTCGATAGTTTTTTGCAAATCATAGAAATATTTTTTTCTTTCTAAATAACTGAAGACATAAAATTGGAACATAAAATTATAATAAGAATATGATGAATTAATATTATTAATATTAATATTATGCTTTTTACTGGAAAATCTTATTTTTTACCAAGGAAAAAATTAAAAAATTAAAAAACTTTTGATTTATTTTGCTTGATTGTTATTGTCTATTTTTCAAATTTTCGAAATATTTTTGCATATAAGTATTGTTTTTTTATATATTTTTTTAATAGAAATTCTATTAATTTTTTTCACTTGCTGATATATTTTTTCAAAGGTTTTAATGATAATTTATTATTTTTTAGCCAGTTGAATCCCCAAATGAACCACGAACCGCTGTTGATTACAATCTACGAATTGATGATAAGGATAGAATAAAATCGGATTTCGCAATTAATGAAAACCAAAGGTGATTATCACCATGGTATTTATTTAATTGCTGTATTTTAAGTCCAATTTTTTTTTTTCTGGTTTTTTCTCAATTTTTTGCTCAATTATTTGGAAATAACTAAAATGATTCCGGAAATAGTTGCAGTTTTGATAAGGATTTATTGCCGAAATTGCAAGCTAACCGTGAAGAATTACCAACTAGCGCTACAGATGATAGTAATTCTGCTCTGAATAGGCATGAAGGGCAACTTGAAGACAAACAGTCCACAAATATTGATACTATGAAAACTGAAGGTTCATCAGCAGAAACACGGATTCAGGTATTCTGTACTAAAAAATTGAAATTTATCTTTAGTGTGATAGTAATCATGGCATTTTAGTTTTTCCGTTGATAGAGTAATGTCAGTCATAATTATGAACCTAATTTGAGATTTTCGATAAGCCATCAGCTATAGCAATGGATGTTTAAAGTAGAATATAATCATGAAGTTTGAGCTAAATCGCTTATGGTTATAAGTGCTTCAGACAAGATCGAGGTCTAAATTTTGGGACGAGGCGAGAACTGTGATACTTCATAAAGAACCTGAACAATCATTTGGTAATTGAAATCATTTCATTTCTCAAAATTATTTTGTATTAAAAGCCTCTTTTTGTGTCCATTAAAAATTTTTTCTTTAAAATTTAAAATTTTTATGCAAATCGCTCACTTAATTTTAAATTCGAATTCATATTTTTTTTCAGGAATAAGTATCGTTGGTGGGCGTATCGAAATCAATGATAAACTTGGTGGTCATTTGAGTGATAGTACCACAGTCTCTGGGATTTTTATTAAATCCGTTCTTCCGGATTCTCCAGCTGGCAAATCAGGCATGATTAACATGGGCGACCGTATTATCAGTGTATATACTTCAAGGATTGCTGATAAAATTATAGTCCAAATATATAAAATATTTTATATGCTAATTCCGCAATAAAATTTTCAAAAATTTAAGGCAGAAAAATGGATTAAAGATTTATAATTATAATTTTATGGAAAATAATGTTATAATCCCTTATTCATTTGTTTATTTTTTTTGAAAATGAAATTTGAGAAAAATTCTTTTATTGCCGTCTGCTTAATTAACAAAATATTTTTATTTATTTATAAATCATTTTATTCAGCTCAAATTTTATAATTTTAAGTAGAATAGAGACTTCTCTTTATCTATTCAAAATTAAATATGCTTTTTTAATATGCTGAATATTTTTAATAATGCATATTAGTAAAATCTAACACAATACTAATTATAGGTTAATGGTTTTGATTTGAGAGATGCAACTCACGAACAAGCAGTGCAAATTATTAAGAATGCGAAGAATCCCGTTAAATTTGTTCTTCAGAGTCTTCATAGTTTTTGCCCTCAGCATGTTAGTTGTTCTTTTTTCGTGAATATTATAATCAAAATATTAATAAATCTTCAAAAAAAAGTGTTATTTCAAGCAGAACGATCTTATTCCAGAAAGAATCTCGTCGATTCACTTAGAAATTTTTATTCTAATCAAATTTTTAAAATATATTTCTTGTCTTTATCTAATTTTTTCTCGTTTATAATCTCAATTATCAATTAGTATTTGTTCTGTAGATTGAAAATATTTTTTATAGTCAATCTAATTCATTTCAAGGGCTCGTTGATCGATAAAAAACCTAAACCTAGAAATGCATCCGTACAAGAAAGCAGTGAGACAAGTAAAGAAGTTGCAGTACAAGAAGCAGAAAAAGTTGGCCTTTTTGTATTCAAAGATTAAAAAATTTTACTTTGTAAATGCTAACTCTTTTTCTAGAATAATATAGTTAACGAAGGCAAAATGACGCTGAAACTCGCTGATAATGATAATGCGGTAGCACAGTTAACTGACATTGGTGATAAATCGCTGGTAGTGGCTTCTAAAGAATTAGATGTGGTTGCCAGTGCTTCTATTGCCGATGATAAATTTTCTTCACTATCCGTCTCTGTAAGTTGCAAAAAGATTTTAATAATAATAATAACTGAAAAGCAATATCACTCAAAAAATGTGATTTCAGAATGGAAAGGAAGAAAGCGAAGTGGCAATTGAAAAGAAATTATCAGCAATTCGCAAAAGATCAACTGAAACCTGGCAAGTTGATCGACAGCGAATAGACCCAGACAGTGCAGCTTCTTTACAACGTCTAAACGATGATCCAGAGGATGAAGATAGATTTTTTTACACAAAAGGTATTGGTTTTAATGAATACTAACGCGATAATAATTTTGAAACTTCATAAAGGCAAAAGAGGTTAGAAATGCGAGAATCAAAATCAGCTTCGGTTTTCGCTCGTTTCTTGCTGTAAGTATTACTTAAAAATTGGTGATTATAATTAGATTTATGGCTCCAGATAGCTTTCAAAATTCTGAGTCTATTGGCAAATTTCATGCAATTTTTTTTTCAGCTTAAAATTCGACTTTTGCAGATAAAATTAAAAGGAAGTATGGAGATATGGATGGTAATGCAATTTTATTAAAATTAGAGAAGGTGCCTCGAGGTGGTCTCGGTTTATCGCTTGCTGCCAGTCGCGAACGTGATAGGCCTACTGTTGTGGTGGTTGCTGTTCGTTCAACTTGCCCACTGCCTGTGGAAGTCGGTGATGAATTGCTTGAGGTTTGTTATTCAACTAAGTGGACCATTGTTTTTAGATTCCTTGCTGATTAACCTGGCTTGTCACACTGAATAGAAATGCCAGGGAGTCTCTTAGTGGCAGAAATACAGATAAGTCGCCAGCATCACCAGATTTACTATTGAAGGGAATAGAAGGGAAGGGAATAGAACCTCAGCATCGAATTGAGCAACAATCCCACTGATTTCTATCCCTATGTGGACCATAAGAATAAATAGATTTATTTGAAAATCTAAATTTAGGTAAAAGAAATTCTTTTTGTTATTGTTACTTCATTCAGGTAAACGGACAAGTTCTCCTCGGCCTTTCTCATTTAAACGCATCCACTCGAATTCGGGAATGTAGCGAATCCGGATATCTAAGCTTAATACTGCTTCGCCGTTTTCGTGCCTTAGTACGTTTTGTAGAAAATTTGCCTTCTTGTTATTTCATTTTTTTTTTCTTATTGTTGAGCAACTAATTTTTGTTGCTTTGCTGTTCATATTAACAAAGTTTTGAATTTTGTTTTTTTATGCTTATTTCTTATTTTAACATCTTAATAATCCAATTAATTAGATAAGGGATTATCGCTAAAAGAGAATGCAATTATTAACTCTAATTAATTAGCATGAAAAAGTTATTTCAAAGGACGACTTGGTGACGAAATCTGAACTGAAATTAAGCCGTTCACAAACCGATCCAGTTTTTGCTGTACATGCAGTTGTTATTCCCGGAGATCATTCACAAAATATAGAAACAATAGCGGATAAGGTATTGCAAAATTTTGATAGTTTCGTTAAATTTTGCTTCACTTTGCAATATAAATAATTGCACTGCCAAGTTTAATATGTTTTTTTTCCAGTAAATAATGAGTGATTTTTTTTATTTTATTACGATTAATTTTTGTTCATCCTGAAATTACATTTTTAAAGAATGAACGATAGGCGAACAATTTTTCCCTATTTTCAGAAATCTATGGAATTCAGAAAAATCACTCGCATTATTTAACCAGTTAACTATTCAAATAGATTTAGATATATTAATAATTAACTAATTTAGTAACTATATATTTTTGAATGGTTTTTGAGTGGATTGTTGCTCAATTCGAAGCGCTGATGCTAAGGCTCTTTTCCCCGCAAGAGTAAATCTGCCCAAAAATTCGAGTGATGTTGGCGACTTACTTGTACTTCTATCGCTAAGGGATTACCCGGTATATTTGTCTGGTGCGGCAAGCCAGCGGAGCGAGTCGAACCAATAATAGTGTCAGAAAAAAATAATTTATTTTATTCGAAATCGATCGTTTCAGAAGAGAAAAATCTCGATTTTCCTCAAAAATATTTTCATTTCGATGTCATTAGTTGATTTTCTAAATCAGTTGATCTCTGATGCATAAGAAAATTAATACAAAACGTTCAATTTTAATTATTTTTTTATGTTTTTTTTCATTAAGTACAACAACAATTTAATAAAAATAATAGAATTCTTATTTAGCTAGTTGTTTTCGCTAGAATGGCTTCGTTTAAATTATTTTCGCTTTTTTTCTCATAAAAAGAATATTTTTGAAGGACAAACCAATTATATTTATTGCGTAATATAATATTGCCATAATTGTTTTTAAAAATCTTTAGCAGGAAAAAAAAAATTTATTATTAAAAGAATATGATAAGAATGATATGGAAATGATAAATTAAAATTTTTGGTCTATGGAATCAGTGCGATAAATTTGTGCGATATTCATCTTCTTATCTCCTCCTTCTTTATCATTAGCACTCATCATTACTAATTTGGCTGGTTTTATTCATATTTGCGAAAGAATCTCTTGGGTATAGATTGCCAAATATCATGCGGATTTTTTTTATTTAAATTTGTCAATGAGTACACAACCTTTCTTTTTCTTTAATAACAGTATTCGCTATTTCTGGTTTTATCATCTGATATAAGATCCTTTTGGCGGGGGAAGAATAGTACCACTCGGGCACATATTATACATAAAATAAATTAACGATATGTATGTATTTGTTTAGCGAAGAATACCTTAAGAATGTAATATGGCCTTTTGTTTTCATCACTCTCTTTTTTTATTCTTTTTATGGATTCGTATTGGATTTTGCGCACATAGCTTCAAAATTCATTGCGTGGCACATTATCAGCAGCTGCTTGAATTTCGATATAACTTCGACATTCGCAATAAAATTGCGTACTTTTAAGAGAAGCGACTTTTTAGCTTAGCCATAACTTTATTGCGTCGCATATTCATCTTCATATTCTACTTTAAATTTCAGCAAATCTCGTTCGATGCGCTTTTTTCCTTGAATTAGTCGTTCGATAAATATTAATTAATCGCTTCGCCAACAGAACCAATTGATTAATTTCATTTATTTATTCCATAATTTTATAATTTTTTTTTTATCTTTTACATATCGCATTAATTTTCTAAATTGATTCTAAAGAGTTTTTATTTTCACCGATATTTTCAAATTTGTTGCATGTTATATAAAATTTTCGCAATTCTGAATTCTGAACTCCCAAATTTATTCGCAGCATTTAATTCTCTTTTATCACTCCTCGTATATTTTCCGTTTAAACCCTCAATTTTTTTTTATCAAAATGAATATTTCTTGCGTATTGCTGATTTAATGAGATTCACATGCACATTCACATCGATGCCAATAAATATCATCACTTTTAGCATTACAATCATTCGATGAGACTTATAAAAATTTATTTATTTATTTATTTGATGTTCGCTTAAAAATTGTTTTTTTTTTAATATTATAGAATCTCTTATTCAACCATTTTTATTGAATTTAATGAAATTTCGAGAAATTTCATAAAAATTTTTTTACTTAAAGCGATAAGCAAATTTATTTTTTATTATGCAAATATAAAGAAAAATAATTTTATTGAATTGAATGGTCGAAAAATGAAAAATAAAAGCATTCATTAAAATGATTTCACATTGTTAAGTAATTTTTGAGATTCTCGAGAAATATTAAATATTTCGTGGACAAATCGATTGCTGGCTGGTAATGCGAAAATAATAATAAATAATTGTAATAATTAATGATAACAATAGTAACAAATAATAATAAATAATTGAGAATAATTTCTATTTTCCGAGGTTTTTCTTAATTCTTTATTTTTTTGCAAATTCGGTAAACTCTTTTATTTTTTTTTTTCTGTTCAGAGATTTGACTGTTCAGAGACACATTTTTTTAAAATTTTTTTTAAAAAATTTTTTAAAAAATTTTTAAAAAATTATTTTTCTTATTTCTTAAATTTTTAAAAAAAATTTTTTTATGCAAGATTAAATAGAAATTTAAATAATATTTTCCCAAGTTTATATGTTAAAGCGATTTTATCATTTTATCACTTTATCACTCTTATTGTTCGATAGAATCGGAAGTTTTTTTTCGAAAATTCTATAGATAGATTATTAAATTTTGTTTTCATTGTTTTTTTCATTAATCTCAAAAGATAGTTTTCTTAAATTTTAGCCTAAAATATAAATATAATATAAATAATATAAATACATATCGTTTAATATAATCGCTTTGTAGGTTTCTTCTTTACTTAACTGACGATTCTTTGATGCTTATTGAAAGAATCGTCCGAAAAATCGGTTATTCATTCCTTTCATTCCTTTTGCTTCGTTGTCTTTAGAAGAAGGAAAGAATAGTTTCGAATGTTTTCTGTTTTCTTTGTTGGATTTAGCTCTTTGTCGAGATTTTCTTATTATTTTTTATTTGATAAAAATTTACGGAAAATAGGCCAAAAAATTATAAAAATTTTAGAGGAATAGTACATATAGCATATTCATAAACAAATGAATTATTGAAGGTGATAAATCGGTGATAAGTTGAATTGAATTAAATTGGCCATCTAAAATTTAATTAGATTTCGACGAAAACATTCTTTAACATTCTCTCTTATTTATTACAATTTATTGTTGAGTTAGAAGTACTTAAATATTCTTATTCCATCTCAAATTTGATTTATTTAATTTGATTTAGCAAAAAAAATAATGGGAATTTTAAATAAAAAAAGAAGCCGAAAGAGTTGATCGCTAATGCTAGAGGAAATCATTTAGTTTCATTATTTTTAAAGAATCCATAGTTTTATAATCTCAAGAATCATTAGTTTTTAATTTTTAATGAACAACTGGAAAAAAAGCTTTTTTTCAGGAATCCTTGTTAGTTTCATCACCTAAACAACTGGAAAAAAGAGCTTTTTTCAGGATTTCTCATTAGTATCATCGCCTAGACAACCGGGAAAAAAGTTTTTTTCAGGAATCGTTGTTAGTTTCATCACCTATTAATGAACAACCGGAAAAGGATTTATGTGCGATGACCCGATCAAAAGATCAACAACAAACTGATGAATCTAATACAATTCAAAGACGAGACGGTTAGTTGTATTTTCAAATTATTTTTTCAATTTTTCTTTTTAAAATTAATAAATGAAACTATAAATTAATAAATGAAATTTTTTTTAAATCTTATTTTATTTATGAAAAATTGTTCTGATTAACTCAGATCAAATTTTCAAAGAATGTTAAGTATGTAATTCGAACTTATTAAATATAATTTTCGTTTCATAAATCTTCGATTGCTTTCTTCTTCCTTTCAATTCGATGAAATAAATTCTTTTTTCTTTTCATTCTCATTTCCTTTGATCGGCCCAAACGAATAAAGAAAATTAATAAGTGATACGAGTAACGGCAGTTCTGAATGTATGGTGTGCGAATTCCTAAGGATCTTTCTGATGATTCTTCACTAGAGGCCAAAGCCATTTTCATCCTAATATTATTTGACTTTTTTCGAAATAAGCCGTAAGAAAATTCTATGCAGGAAGAAATGATTAAATAAATATTTCATTTTTTTCCTTTAGTTTTTTTTTCGTGAATATCGATTATCATTTATCACCCAAATAAATGAAAAAATCTCTTTGGAATTGTTAATAATTTTTAAGAATTTAAAAGGATTTTCAGAAGATTGACATAAAATTATTATCACTAACTTCGACGATTCAAATGTAATCGTCGCATTATAAAATGAATCGCACATTCGTTGTATAAAACATATTTATTCAAATTCACAAGTGATAATCGCTATATGAATTAAAATAAATTGACTAAATTATTTATGGAATTTTAATTCACTTTTTAGTGATATATGAAAATTTTTTAATGAATGAATATTCTTTTTATAAAAAACTAAATAAACGAATAATTCATTCAAATAGTAATTGAAAAAAGCGTTTGATAAGTTTTGAGATATCAAAATGCCGTCGAAAATAATTTTAATTCGCTTGTTTATGCGAATAGTTAACGCGAATATTTATTTGGTTTTGCTAAAGTTTTGTTATTAAGTTTTCTTTTAATTATCGAATTTTATTATTCAAGTCGCAAAATTTCTTCAATAAAGATAATAGATAATAATGAAGAAACTTTCCATCAATGTTTCTTTCTCATAATGCTATCGATTATCGACTTAATTAGTTACTGATAATCATTACTGATTAGACTCACTGCTGCGGATTGCGCTTTGAAATAGTTTATTTTTTTAAACGACAAGATTGTTGTTTTCTTTTATTCTTATCAAATTCACTAACTTTGAAATCGGCATATTTTGAGATTAATAATCATTTTTTAATAGATATACGATAAAAATAGGAAAACAACTGTTGCTGATAAGATATAATCGAATATATCAAACATTCACAATTAGCCGATTAGCCGAAGTGTTGAAGTTGTGTTATTTGTTAATTTTAAAATTCGATGATTATTTTACGATTTAGATTTTTCATAAAATTGCTAATTTCATTAATTAACTTGATAATTATTAACTTGATATATGGCTTGGAACTTTTATCTTTATTAGAAATCCATATAACAGATTTTAATGAAATTTTCCCTCGTTACGACTTTCCTCACCAATAATATAACTGAAAATTTTTTATTGGCTTTAGAAACTAACCTTGTTTTCAAATAAGTTTATAATGGATCAATTAAGTTTTAGGCTCAGCTAAATTTGCTAGCGAATAATCTTTTAAACTAATCAAATATAACGAATTATTTTTAGGTAAATTCATTTAAAAATAAATTAATTTAAGCCATAATATTAATAATATTTAGGCAAAAAAAATAATGAACGATAAATTAATTGAAAAATCTTTTTCATCCTAAAAAAATTTTTGAAATCTTATAAAAATCTGTTTTTTTCAAAAATACATGAATGGAAAGCTGTGTGAAAGGGAATTTGGGAATAATGCCTCACTTGTTTAAGGATAGTTTGCTTCTGGATATTGTGCCTCTGGATTTTTGATTTTCTGGAATATCTGGAATATTTGAATTTTTTTTTTAGCGCTATAGCATTAATAAATTAATTTGTACAATCTAAAGTTATTTTGCTACAATTTCGTTTTTAGACAAGTTCAATTTCGTTATTTTTTACGATTTTTCCTGTTTCTTTATTTATTTTTCTATATTTTTATTAAATGTTTATTTAATAATTCGCTAATTCTTGCAATTTTTTTCTGCATAAAGCCATATATACATTCGCTAATTATTATTGCCTAATAATAAGTTTTTTGGCATTTTCCCGAAACACATCATATACATTGATACGAAATCAAAAGTCTTTCGATATTTTCGATATCACCAATACATAATCGATGATACCTTATAATTTACTAGAATGAAGCATTCTAGTAAATTTTTTAAAATTTCTAACGATTGCTCACTCGAGTTGGTCTCTTCCTAAGTCTACTTGATAATCAGTTGATAAACGGTCCTTTTTTCCATGCATCAGTTAAAAAAATATGCTTTAATTATGCATAATGGGATTAATGAGATGGAACAGAACGAATGAAGTATATGGCCGTGCTACGCCATAAATACATCCATTCATCTCCATTTGTGCAGCATTAAAAAAAAGAAGAGATAAAAGAAATTTCTAAAACGGTAATGTGAATAAAATTTAATGGCTCGAATAAGAATTTAAATAAAATGCCTTAAATTATAAATTCTTTGCCTTTTAAATTAAATTATAAATTCATTTTTATATAAAAAAAATAAATAACGAGATGAAATAGAATTTTAATAGAATAATTAATGTATTTATTCATTTAAAAAAATTATATGTAAAAATTATGACAAAAATAAAAAAAAAGTTGGCAAATTTAATTCTTTAAATAAACTTTTTTTTTTTATTAAACTTCTACTATTATAAAATTGATATTTCGTGAAATAATTATATATAATCACATATGCAATAATTATTTTGAAATAAAAAAATATTTTAGACGGAAGGAAGAAATCTCATATGGAGCGAACGGCTTGTATCGAAACGGGTAAAGAAACTCTCATAGAAATTGATAAAGATGGCAAGGTTGATTTCCTTATCATATCTCTGTAAATCAATGCGCTAATTTAATTCTTATCAAATTCTTATCAAAATTTTTCCTAGTTTTGGATTAGCCTTTCGATTTAATAATATCAACTTTCTACAAATTCTATTTTTATTTAATATTTATTTAGTCATTATTTACTAAATATAAAATAGATATATTGAATTTTCATGTTATTTATATCACAAACTCTTGAACTTTGATCCTTCTTTTAATAAATTATAGAAGTTTATTTCCTTATATCGAATTCCATAGAAAAAATAAGATAAATAGATAGATAAATAGATTGAAATTCGTCTTTCAGGGACTGGGTTTAAGTATTGTCGGTGGATCGGACACGGTACTTGGCACAGTTGTTATACATGAAGTGTACTCTGATGGAGCAGCAGCTATGGATGGTCGCCTTAGAGCTGGAGATCAAGTTCTAGAGGTCGATACTAATAGCATCATTTACGTTTATAGCTGTTTTTTCTATTTTCTAAAGCCTTTTAGAACAATTTTTTAAATAAATTATTGGATTTTAGGTGAATAACGTATCACTGCGTGGTGTCAGCCATGAACAGGCGATTTCATTATTGAGGCGGACACCATCGAAAGTAGTTTTTTAAAGCTTTCTTTCTCTTTTTTATTTTTGCCTTCATTATTATTTGATTAATCAGGAAATATTTTCAGGTCCGACTTCTTGTCTATCGTGACGTAAATCTACAATTGTCTTTATTAGATCCAACACAAATTTATAATATTTTTGAAATTGAATTGACTAAAAAACCTGGTCGAGGACTTGGCATCAGTATTGTAGGCCGTAAAAATGAGCCTGGTGTTTATGTATCAGAGGTGGTTAAAGGTGGAGCTGCTGAAGCTGATGCTCGCCTCATGCAAGGCGATCAAGTTGGTTTTATTTCTAATTAATCATTTATAAAAATTCACCATTTGTCGAGTACATTTCTCAGTTAAAAATTTTTCTTTGCTTCCTATCACTTCTTTATAAATGGATTTTCTTATCTTATGAAATAAAATATTAAAAGCAAAATTTAAAATTCCTATTTGTTCTAAAATAATAAATTTAGATATTAGCAGTGAACGGACAAGATGTGACGAATTCTATGCAAGAAGATGTTGCTGCAATGCTTAAGGTTTTTTTTTAAGAGTTCTCACCATTACTGGTTAAACTCACTTCACTGGCTTGTCGCATTTGAGGTAATGTGCTAGGGAGTCCCTTGGCGATAGAAATACAGGTGAGTCGCCAGCATCACCGGGATTTTTGTACAGATTTATTCCCGTGAGGAATCAAACCTCAGCATTGGAGCTCCCAATTGAGCAACAACCCACTGAGCTATCCTCAATGCTTAAGGTAAACGATATTAAATCTAAATTAAGATAAATGGGATAATGGAGAGGAGGTGGGTAAGGAGGAAATTTAGAAATAAGTGATCAAGAAAAGCTCATTATCATATTTATTCTCGTTGCTGTCTCTTTAATAAACATAAAATAATTGTCACATAAAGATAATAATTTTAAATTCATCTCTGTTATAATATAATGATGATGGCCCAACTTTTTATGAAATTTCAGCATTTCATTATCCTGGAAATTCAATATTTGCCTTTAGCACTCCACTTTGTTATTATTTTCACAAACTATTTCATTATCATTTTATAGGCTTGTACCGGACGCGTTTCGTTAAAGGTAGGACGATGGAAGTTAACAGAGGCAGCTAATCGCGTTCACTCAGCTTCAAAAACAGCTAGTTCTGAGACATCCCGAAATGGAGCATTAGCAATTAAAGCTGCAGCTAAATCTACATTAGAAGCTCGCATGTTTTTTTCCTATCATTCGTATCAGTCTTAATACTTAAATCAACAGTAAATTTATGTGAAAAATTCGAATTAATTAAAGAAGGAAATAGCGATTTTTTAATTTTTTAACATTAATTTTTTCCTACAGAAACTGATAAAAATATTGCACCACCATGTTCACCATCATCGAAGTTAGTTATACCTCAAGTAGCTATAGACGATGCTAGCCAGGTCACGTCTGCACTCCAATCAGATCTCTCGCCAGTCACCGAAGAACTTAATAGTAGCACAGATCAGGTGATTTGCTTAATTTATTACGTTATTCTTGCAACATTATTCTTTTTTTGAAGAATATTTCGAAGAAAAGTTTAATTTACTTCTCTTTCTTTGCCACGAATAACTATTTCTAATTTGTAATAAATTTTTTATTCGGGCAAAAAATTTTAAACTATTTTTCAAGAATTTAAACTTTTTTTCTAGCCATAAATATAAATTTTATTTAGAAATCTTTGATAGCTGAAGAAGAAAGTTCGTCAACGACAAGTCAAAGTAAAGAAATAGAATTAATAACAGATTTACGGGAAGATGATTGTGATTCCTTATTGATTCAGTTGAAGAAGATACCCGATCAGCAATTGGGTATGGGAATTGGAAAAAGGACGAGAGGAATTTTAGTAACATCATTGCAGCCAGGAAGTATAGCTGCTGAAAAACTGAAAGTTGGTGACAGATTAATGGCTGTGAATGGACTTCCTGTCGGTGATCAGGTTCATTTTTTTCATCGTTTCATAGATAAAATTTAAGGTTTTTTATTAATTTATTAACTTTTTTGATAATTTTTTATTTTTTATCTTAATATTCTTTTTTTTTTCAGTTATCAGCTGTTACATATGTGAAAGCGAGTGGAGAAAAATTATGGTTGCAAATTTCACGACCACGAAGTCTCTCAAATGCTTAAATCATTTTGATGGATGATTCTATGCAATTTAAAAATTAAATCAAAAATTAACAAAAAAAAATTGGATGACCAAGTTTCCAGGAAAGAAATTGGACCAAAAATTCCAAAAATATCTGGAACACGAGCTGTGCTTTAATTTCACTTGTCTTTATGAGAATCCAAAAAATTCATTGTTATATATTGTTTAATAATTTTTTTCCTTGAGAAATTATTTAAAATTTAGTAAAATATTAGTCGATTCGCGAATTTTTTTCCATAATTTTTAATTTTGATGCGATTATGATTGAGCAATCGCGAAACACTTCCTTGATAATCGTAAAATTTTTTCGTTCATCCAGTAAACCAGAAAATTTTCGTTTCCTGGATTTTTGTATAAACGAACGAATTATGAACGAATTTTATGGCTTTGTTTCTTATCGAATTACTACGGTGCTCTAATTTTTTAATCTAATAATCTATTTGAGTTGGTTTATAGATTTCTATAATTAAGACTTTTTATGCATCAATATTTTAGATATTTCGTAGTAGCGATGATTGTTTGTGGATTTTCGATTTTCAAGAGAATCGAATATTTGTTTTTGTTTCTATACGCATAAATGATATGATATGATAAAAAATTTGCATTTAAGGAATTCTAAATAATTTTATTTATTTTTTATGTTAACCGAGTGAATATTGCAACTTTTTGAATTGTGAAATTCTGAATTATAATTTTTTATCGATAAAGTTTTTTTTTAATCATAATAGTTTTACTTTACTTTAGTTTTATTTGGTTTTATAAGTTATTATTGTATTTTTTTCATAATTTAGGTTTTTTTTAATTAAAATTAATTTCTATATGAATTATGCATATTATTTTAATTTTGAAATAATATGCTATAATAAATATACAATTTAATTTAAAATGAAATTCTATTCTGTGAATCGACAAAATAAACGCAAAACGTTTGAAAAATTTAATTTGAAAAACTAAATCGATGAATTTTATTGTTCATTAATTTTTATAATAAAAAATGCCCAATAATTGATGAAATAAACTCTTTTTTTTTCTTCAGCGCTATTTTAATTAATTATTAATAATTTTAATTTAATTATTTATTAATAATTATTAATTATACATTATTAATCATTGATAATTATTTTTACTTAATTATCATTATTTATTTTACCATTGGTGCTTTCCATTAATTTATATTAAATATATATGAGAAAAAAAATTCGATCAAATAATTTTGGCAAATAATGAAATAATTTTTGGCAAAAATAAAGGTGAAAATTTTTTCGGAAAGCCTTTTTATAAAAAAACAAAGAATTTATGTTTTTTTTTGTCATTTTCTTCATATATCGTAAGAAAGTCTCATTTGTCTGCATTATAAATGTTAATTTACAATAATAATTTTTTTTCTGTGTTTTCTTTCTTTTTTTTTGAATAATTAAAAAATACAAATTGATTAGTTTCATTTCCTTATCATTTTATCATATTATCACTACAGTATTCTCTCTGTTGTTCTTCTCGAGAGAATTCTCAAAATAGCGAAATTCTAATATTGGCATTAATTTCGATTAATGAATAGATTGAAACTTTCCAAATGAAATGCAAAAAATTTTTATTTTTGAGAATTAGAAAGTAAATTTTCGTGAAAAAAAAGAAAGGGAAGCATTTCTTTTTTTCTCAGACTTTTTAATGAAATTAATAGCGCATTAATTTTCGAAAATTTCCCGGAAAACCGTCTTTGTCGCTTAGCATTTCGTGGAAATTCGGAAGAAAAAAATGCAAAATGAAAAACGGTCATTTGCGCGCTGATAAATGAAAAACTGCAAAAAAAGCATTGTATTTCTTATACGAATTTTTTTTCATTTACCTTATGCTTGTTATGAAGGCAATTTAATTTTTTAGATAATGCGCTCAATTGACGGATGATAAGATTTTAAATTTCTTCGGGTCTTGCACAGAATTTCTGACTAGTTTTTGTTTTTGTTTGTTGGTTGAAGGAAAAATTTGAAGGAGTTTGAAAAATTTTCGCGGATCTTTGTTGAGAGTGAAGTATTGAGAGATTTTGAGTGTATGTTTTAAATTAATCCTTTGGAATCTAAAAAAATTCCTTGGGAAAGATATTCCCTGAAGCTGGAAAAGAAGAAGGAACGGAGGGTAGGAATAATGATTTTGTAGTTTTGTTCCCAAATGACTCTCTTGTAGAAGGAATAGCTTGGCAACCACCAATATACGATAAGTTTGGTCACGTGTATGCTCAGTGCTGACCAACTGATTTACTTGCTTATTTATCCTATTGCTTTTCTCTTTTTGTATTTTATTTATAATTTATTTTTTGCTCATAGTGATAGCTTCTCTGCTTCCTCTGTAGGAAGAGCGAATCGGTAGGGAGAAGAGTAATAAGGGAGAGGAGAAAATGTACTGGGAAAAATTGGAGGAAAGAATTTGGCTGTGGGAAAATTGAGCCGAAATTCGAAGAAGTATCAAGCGAGGCTTTAAAGATATATATATATATCGTGGCTCAAAGAAGCTGCTAATAAATCCAACGAACCGGGATAAATTTCATTATAAATTTTTTGATGCAAACTTTTGGAAATCTATTTGTTTAGGCATACTCTTTTTCCATACGTTTCTTCTCTCTGTCGGTTATTTTTTAGGAGAATGGAACTCTCAGCTTTTACCATACCGTTAGAGTAGAGGATGGGGAAACCTGTAAAAATTTACAAAATTTTTAAAAAAGTTTTTCTTTTTTAAGTTTTCGTAATTTTACTAATTCAAGTTTATTTTTTTAAATCATTGATAGCTTTACTTCGAAAAGCTATTGGGTATTTATGAACGTTTGGATGTTTTTTTATGTTTTTAATCGATTTTCAGCAACTTTAGTCAATAATTCGTCAAAATAGGTCATCGGGGTGAAACGAGTTCAGAAATGTCTGCTAATATCGTAGGTTATGTTCGTAATCACAAATCAGGTAGGTCATTTTTTTATTGGTAAATTCATATTATTTATTTGAATAATCGAAAGTTGGAATGTGGCTTTCCCTTATCATGTGAATATAGTAATAGTAATAAATGTAGTTGATAGATTTAATAAATTATCTGAAAGAGAAGAATAATGGATTTTTCTGCTTTATAAAGTGATAAAATATAATAAAATTTTAAAGGTCCAACTTCGATTTCATAAATTGAATTATTTTCCTGAAAATTTTCTTAATTAGATTAATTGATCCTATTTTTTAATCCTTTATTGTAAAGTTATAATTTTTATAATAATGCTTAATAAAATTGCAAAAATTGAAAGTGAAAGGAAATCGTGAATTTGATTTTGATCACGTTTAGTACATCAAGGCAAAGAACCATTGAAACGTTTTGCTGAAGCAAAAAAATTTATGGGAGATATTTATGCGGATCTTGAAGCATATATAGATGAACTTACCAAATTTTATCGTGGTTAGTTGTTATTTATTTCATTTATTTTATTGAAAGTGATAATGGGATGAGCTTTTTGATATCAGTTCTAATTATGCATATATTGTATCATTTTCTTTTTTCAGATGTCATCAATGGTCAAACGATAGTACCTGACGAGCAGATGCAAGAAGTTGAGAAATTTAAAGGTAGTATCAGCACTATCCGAGATATGTTTATGCGCGATACAATGAAAGTTGCGTTCTTTGGCAGGTTATTTGTTTAATTTTAATGTAAAGTTTGAATAATTTATTCGGACTTCAAAAAGAACTTTAGTGATAACTGTTAAGATTTTTTTCTTTTTTATTTTGACTTTGTTTAAAGTAAAATTGTAGAACAAGCAATGGTAAAAGTTCCGTAATAAATGCGATGTTACATTCGAAGATTTTGCCTCAGGGAATGGGTCATACAACATGTTGTTTCATTCAAGTATTTCTTTACTTTTATTCCTACATTTTCCTTTACATTTGGTTGCATTTCTCAAGTATCTTTAGGTCGAAGGTAGTCCTGATAATGAGAAATATATAATTAGTGAAAATTCGACTTCTCCTATCAATATCTCAGAACTTCAAAGGCTTGCTAGTGCTGTAAGCGACGATAATGCATCTATGGGGCAAGATTCTCTTTTACATGTTCTTTACCCTAAATCCGAATCGAGATTATTGCAAAATGATGTTGTCATTGTTGATAGGTATTTTTTATTTTTACTTTTTCGATTTTTATTTTTTACTTTTTTTATCTCTGCAGGCAATTAAGTTTTGAAAAATTTTCTAAGTGCGATTTTTAGTCCTGGTGTTGATTTTTCTCCTGAATTCGATAATTGGATAGATAAGCATTGCTTGGATGCTGATGTATTCGTATTGGTGTGTAATGCTGAATCTACGCTAACACAATCTGAAAAAAATTTCTTTCATCGAGTCAGCTCAAAACTAAGCAAACCGAATATCTTCATTCTTAACAATAGATGGGATGCAAGCGCTGCGGAAATGGAGCATATGCAGCAGGTTGAAAAGTTGAGTTGATGTCATGCAGGCTGTTATTTTCTCGTTTTTTTTTTCATATATGATCAGTATTTCTAAAATGCATAATCGACTTTTTAGCCTTTTATCCTTTTAAAACTCTTCTATCAGCTGTTAATTTATTTTTAAAAATAAATAAGTTAAACAAAATGAAGCGCGAGTCCAATCCTTTCTAAAGTCCTTTCTTTTCTGCTCATATAGAAACGCTTTTTTAAATGAGGTTCAGTATATATTGCTAATTTAGAAATTTACGAAACAATTCGTATTTTTTTATTTTTTTTTGCTTGATTATTCATGCTTACCTTTGTGTATCGCTTACCTTCAGCTTTGATTTATATATGTTTATGGAATGCATTCTTTATAATTACATTGTCAAACTTTTTAGGTTAAAGAACAACATATGATAAGGTTTAAAGAGTTCCTTGTAAACGAACTGAATGTTTGTTCCGAACACGAAGCCAAGGACAGAATTTTCTTCATATCAGCACGGGAAATGTTGGATGCGCGACTGAAAGAAAGGAATCTTATCAAAATAGGTGAAATCAAAATAAATTATTTGCATAACCGAATTCTAAAATATTTTTTCAATTTTAAAAATGATTTCGAAACAGCATTCATTTTAGATGTTCTATTTTTTTATATTTTTTTTAAAATTATTCTTGAATGGTTTATTATTTATTTATTCATAGCATATCAAATGGAAGGTCATCAATTTCGTGCTATGGAATTCATGAATTTCGAAACTCAATTTGAAGTATTTATTTTTCAGTTTTCTTCAGTTTTTAAATTTCGAATTTTTATGATCACTCACTCATACTCTTTCTGCTGAAAATTGATAGAATTTCTGTTTGAATTAAAATTGATAGAATATTCTTTAATAAGAGGAATTTTAATGAAAAATTTTCATGGAAGGTTAAATTTTTAGCAAACTATATCCAAATCTGCAATTAGTACCAAATTCGAGTCGCATCATCGTCGTGCACGGGAAATCGTGAATTCTATGCGTGGCAATTTGGAAATTGTTCAGATAAACGCAGTGAAACGGCGGTGAGCCATTTCATCTGTGAGGAATTTTTTCTATTCATTCTCATTTCTTGCACTTGCTAAATTTTTTAGAGAACAGCTTCAGCAGAATTATTGCAATCGTGAAGAAGAATTCAAACAAGGTCTAAATAGCTGGAAAGAATTCGAACGTTTCGCCATTACCGAATCGCAACGTTTGAAAAATGAGGTATATTAATCATTAAGAAAGTATGAAAAATGTTCCAGCATATTTGTATTGCAAACTTTAATCTATTGTTAATCTAGTTTAATATTATTTTTGTTGGATACGCTGAAGCTGATTTTTTTTATCAGAAAAATTATCAGAACATATAAGAAAGAAAAGGATGATTTGGTCGTATTTTTCTTCTGCTGAGGGCATCATCGGTTAAGTCCAGTTCTTTAGCATAATTGAATACATTGAATCCGATGGTTGGACATCTATACTTAAATTCCCGAATATCGGTCATAGTGGAACCAGAAAATTTATTCAAATTTCAAATTTAAATTTAAAGCAAAAGGTCCATAAAGCAAAAGCATATTTTTAATATAATTTATATTACAAAGATTCAGATTGTGCAATTAAGGTACATCTCAAAGTTTCGGCTGATTATTACGAAGAAATATTCCGGCTGGAATCAATTATAGACAAATTTGATGGCAAATTCATCGATGAACCTTCTTGCATCCTTCAGTATAAAAAGGCAGATTCATTTAATTTCTATATTTCATTTGGAATTCGTAATTTTTGTCATGAATATTTACATTCTTTCTTTTTTATTCCTTTAGTATTCATTTTTTTGCATTCAGATTTTTTTTATTTATAAATTATTTGTCACGTTCTTCTCTTTTAAAAAATTTGCATTCGTTGAGACTTCAAGAATTTTTATTTATATAGTTTTTATTTTTTAGTCTTTGGCTGATTTCTTGGACAAAGTAGTCAAAGAAAATTTAGAAATACGTTGTACAGGTGGGCTAATGCAGCGTATATGGAATTTAGAAAATAATATGTTCGGTTAGTTCTCGACAGATATAATAAAAAATAAATATAATAATAATTAATCTACACATTTTCGTTATAATAAGGATTTCGGAAATATTATTCTTTTAATTTATTTTAGAACAAATTGGTCGAATTTTGCCTGAGCCCTATTCCAGAAAGTTGGACGAGGTTAATTTTTATTTGTTTTAAGTTCTTTCCTGTTATTTATGTTATCTTACTAGCTTTTAATTTTCATTATGTTTTCTGGAAATCCAGGTTTGGCGATATCGTGCACCTTTCCGTTTTACAATCTGCGTTAATTGTCCTTCTTTAATGGAGGATTTCCATGAAGATTTAATTTTCCGATTCAGTCTTGGTTTACCTTCACTGATTCGCCGTTTTATTGCATTTCGGTCAGGCCAACCAGTCACTGCTATAAGCAATAATTATTTCTTGCAAGCTTTTGTTAGTCTTTTTTATTGGTTTTCTTTACTTTTGTGTATAAATGTTCTGTTGTTCCAACGTTTTTTTCAAATATAAATTTTGAAATTTGTTTCAAAGCAGAATCGATTTTGTATTAAATGGTTCCAGCAGGTTCATATAAAAAAGTGTTATTGTTCATTTTTTCTCTCAAAACCTAGTTTTTTGAAGCATGAATTATTTTTTTTGAAGAAAAAGAATGAACTTACCGACAGTGGTGGCGAAGCAACTAGTTCGCAATCGAATCAAGTCGCTCGGCACGAAGCAGAAATATTTAATCGAAGAGATGAAGATAATGCTTTAATAACTCAAGTGGTTTTATCATCTGTTGGATATATCGCGAATGGTGGTGTTGGATTATTGGTAATCGGTGGTCTAGTGAGTGTTTTTATCATTTTATGTCATTTTTTCCTAAGTCGTTGCTAATTTGAAATGGTTTTTCAGGTTTCGCGAACAGTGGGATGGCGAATTATCGCTGTAAGTGGGTTGTTATATGGTGGGCTTTATGCTTTAGAATGGTGGCGTTGGAATTCTGGCGCAAAAGAACAACATTTGAAGGATCAGTTCCGTTCACATCTTGCTACACGAATGCGCAATATGGCTGCAAGTCATACCAGTAATTGCGAATCTCAAGTTCTATGGTTTGATTTCAACTTCTTTTCTAAAGGAATCATTTTTTAGGTGATTTTTTTGACTAGTGGAACGTGTTGGAGAAAAATTTTTGCGAGCTGCTTTGATCGCTGTTTTGACTATTTTATTGACTATTTTATCATGTTTACAAAATTTAATTCAGGGAAATGCAACAGGTCTTCAACGGACTTAAAGCCACTGTTGGAGGAGCTCACCAGGAAATGAAAAATGAACTTGATGAAACGCAGCAGAAGATTGGAAATATCGAAAATGTCATTAAGGGATTGAATACCATAAAGTACCTATCTTATTATTCTTATTATTCTTCGTGGTGCTGCTTTTTTTTTCTGTTTTTATTTGGAATTTTATTTTCAGGAGTTGGAGTTTTTCAACGATTTTTTTTGGATTTCTAATATTTTTGAATTTGACATTTTTTCTTTATAAATTTCGGATTGTTTCAGAGGCAAAACTGCATTTTTGAATACTGATTTGGATCGATTTGATTTAGAATTTTTGCAGGCAGATTCGCTTTCCCCATAATTAAGTTTACTTTAGATTATTTTATTTTATCGTTTATTGTGCCTTTTATATTTTAGGATATATAGTTTGTGTTTAAAGTCGATTTGTTTGTTTTCCTCAGTAAAGTAATTGCATTTTTTATTCATTTTTAATATTATTAAATTAGAATTAGCTAAAATGAGTAATTCTTAGTTCTTATTGCTTAAAAAACTTATAAGTCCATAGTGTTTTTCATTTGTATTATTAAAAAATTAGTAAAGGATTATGAATAAAAGAAAAGGGAAAAGTCATTCTTGGGATTAATATGAAATGAAAAAAAAAGGAAGAAACATGGAAGTAAATCATGGTACTACATGGTAGTTGGTCGACAATAATAGATAGCTTATAAGCACCTTAGATTATTGTTTTTTTGCTAATTTTATATCCAACATTTTTAGTGATTTAATTTTTACAATGAAAAATTTGAAAGAATAAAAAATTTCCAATTTTTATATCTTTTTCTAAGAGCATGCACCATTACTGCTCTAAGCAAGTTTCACAGAAGGAGTGATTTTTACCAGACAGGAGTAAGGGGTGATCTCGCTTAATTTTTTATTTTTTAATTTTTAATGTTTGCTCAAATTTTTATTGTGAATTTGTTTTGTTCTGTGGTTTTTTGTCTGTTACAATATTATTTTTCTATTACGATTTACGATTTGAATATTTAGAGTATTTATTTGTTCCATTTGGGCAATATTATTCTGTGGAAAATCCATCTGTAAAGTTAGAATTGTTCGATTGGTCAAATATCTTTCTTTTTTTATTGCTTTTATCGCTTATTCTTAATCTGTTTATTTTTAATAGTGGAAATTGTGATATCTAAAAAATGATTAATTAGCTGTTTGTGGTTATTTTTTGAATATTAATTTGTACTTGTATTTTTATGAATTGTTTAGGACATACAAAAGTGTTTGTTTGGGATAAATTTTGCAGACATTTTTTTCGTCCAACCAGCGTTGTATTATTGCTTTTCCAAACTGCAGTAAGCAATTGTTCATTGAAATAAACAGTTATATGTTTATTATTGACGAATACGACAGTTGTGCTACTGGTGGCGAATGGCGTATATAAATTTCGAGAAAATAAGACTTATCATTATAAAGTAAGACTTATGCAGATTTATGAAATTTATAAAATTGGAATAATATTTAACAGTTTTGTCTGATTTCTGTTTTTTCTTTCAGTTTGTTGGATTCTAATGGGGAAATAGGTTTCTTTTCAGGACAAAAAAAACTCTCGAAGTTATTTCGATTTGCGTATTTTCTTTTATGTTTACTAACTGCATAATAGAATAGGTGAAGGTGTTAGCAAGTAAAAATGACATTCTCTATGGTATAATCTAATTTTATAAACGAATGAATCTAGAAGAGCATTTTATTAAATTAATTCAGTCACCGAATAAGAGAAACTTTGATGTAAAAAATGCTATTTTTTACATCCTAGATGGAATTCTATGCCTATATGGACTTTAAATCGTCAGAGTTTTCCAAAATTTTCCTAATCTCATCGGAATTCCTTTTCAAAAG